AAGCACCCTCGCTACTCCACTCAGTCACCCACCCCCGATTTCTCTGACAATCAATCCTGTCAGGGAACCCAGGCTCAACATGAGCTCCATTCCTCTCATCTCAGCTTCTCAAGCCAGGGTTGCAGGCATGTACCATCCTGCTGGACTCCGCCATTTCTTCTGTTGTGCACAGCTTGCTAGCATCCAGGTACTCTCACCTAGGTTTAAACCAGACACTTTCTGTACCCCAACCCTCCTGGGTACCTGAGGTTAAGGGAAGGAATCAGACCTGGTCCACAGCGGGGAGGACTAGCACCAGCTTGGCAGCACTGGGAGCCAACCAGGTTGGGGAGGCCAGTCAGCCTGCTGCCCCAAGCCACCCACGTGTACTGTGGCTAAGAGCTGCCTTGCTAATGAAGGACAAATGAGAGTATATACAGGAACCATCCTAGCAACTGCAACTGAAGTGTGCTGCTTCATAATGAAGAAATGGTGGCAACTCTAGCACTTCTCCGCCCTCTCTCACATCGTACTTGGCCCTCTGAGCAGGCACGACAGACAGGCCAACAATGGTCCTGTCTTCTAGGAAGGTGTTAGTTACCCATACCAGATCAACCTGACTTGCTAGAAAGGTTTCAGTTCTGTCCTCACTTCTCAAAACTTAAGCCCAATCACAGCCTCATTTTATTCCTTTAACCTAATTAGGGCAAAAGAATCACTAAAGTCAGCTCTGAAAGACATTTACCGACAAGCCTTGAAGGCCCTGGGCTTGACAACTGGCGGCCTCCATGAGACCCAGGAGTACAGATGGAAGGCAGCTTGCTCAGGTGCCAGCCTGTCAGTTGGATTAAAATGACTCATTTATTTACCCAAGAACCTCACAAAGTGCTTTTACTAACAGGGAGAGGGGGCCTGCCATCTCTCTGAGAAGGGACGTACAAACTCTCCTCCGATGCCTTCCTGGCCTGCCAAAAGTCATTATTGCCATGTGTGGAAAGCCATCAGCAGGGTACAGGCCCCCGTTGTCCGGGTGACAGATTGGGCTGCGTAATCAGAGGAGGAAGGGGAGAGTGCAGAAGCTGTCAGAGGCGAGAGATCTTGGCTGGAGCCGCCAAAAAACTGGCAACATGAGTTAGCGTGACTGAGTAAACAGCAAACAATCTCCAAATGATCCTTCCATTAGCAGGGCAGAAACAAAGTGCTAAGGATAAACTTCCCCTGAAAAGCACAACCAGAGGAGTGTAAGAGCCACACTCATGCAGGGCACTGAACCCAGTCTAGGGACATGTACAGTCCTTGCTCCTTTGTCTCTTGGCCACTGGCACAGTAAATTTCCCAGAAGGAGAGGAAATTAAGAACTGCAGACAACAGTGTGTTTCAATCAGAGAAAACAAAAGCAACGAGCCAGCGGTGGGGCAGCACAGGTGACTTGCACGCAGCTCTTAAGTAGGAAACCTACCTGGTGGACACCCATGGTCCATCCACCTAGGTGTTCGTAGCCGACAACTCAGGCATCAGAAGCCTCTCCTTTCTGAGCTCGGCACTGCATTCCATTCTTCCAGGGACAAACAAGGAGAACAAACACACCAGGAAAAGTGCTGGTGCTGACCTTAAAATCAGAGGGGACTCGGAAATTTCATTTTGTGGTCACCCAGTGGCATTTTCCTACATGGAACTAAACATGGTATTCTCTGCCTTGACTTTGGCCAAGCCATAACAAAGAACCAGCAGGAAAAAAAATAGTCTATAGATAAAACAAAGTCCCGAGCCTAAATACTCTAGCTCCTATTCAGAAAAACAGGCCTTCAGGTTTCAGTATCCTTTCGCATCCTTCCCTTACCTCATTTACGTTTTACTCGAGACAGGGTGTTTTGAGGCCGAGGTTGGATCTTCTTGCTTCCACTTCTCCAATGCTGGGATTACAGGGAGGTGTGTACCACCATACTCAGTCCATCTCTCTTCAGTTAAGATTTCTCTTGCACACAAAATGCATCTGTCCCAACTCTCCTTTAGTTCTGCCTACCCATCCATTCAACACAGCCCTATAGTACCAAATAGCCAGTCTACAAGAGTCATGTATGTTTCAGGTCCTGGGAAAGCCGTATGAAATTACAAAGATCCTAGCTTATAGGACAAGTATAATTAAGGTGAACACCCTACTACATATCCATAACTACTATCTGCTGGAAGAAAAAAAAAGGAGTAGATAAACTTGCAAACAATGAAGAACACAATGTAGTTATACTAAAGCTTCCATATTTTCATAAAGACATACATCCAGTCTTCCCTGGCCTTATTAAAAGGATCTTAGGGTGATAAATTAAAAGGTAAAAGGCAGGCTGGAGATACGGCTCAGCAGTTAAGAACAATGGCTGCTATTCCAGAGGACCCAGGTTCAATTCCCAGCAGCCACAAGGCAGCTCATGCCTGTCTGAAAATCCAGTCCCAGGGCTTCTGACATTGTCACACAGACACACATGCAGGCAAAACACCAATGCATATTTAAAAAAATATATTAAAAAAAGTAAAAGGTTTGGTATAAAGGGGGTAAATCTCCACACAGCAATTACTATGATTCCTTTTATCAAGAGAAACCAATTTTCCATCTGCCTCGTCCTGACATGGTCCTCATTCCTCATTAACACCACAGAGGCTCTTGGAGAGTTCAGAGAGCCTGGCAAGCAACAGGCTGCTTATAAGGTGGCAGAGTGACATTCTCTCCCCAGCCCAAGCATCATCTATCCCAGTGTGGCTCATATACACTGTGGTTCACAGACAACAGTGTTGAGAGAAAGCAAACAAATACCACAGTAACAGCAGGAACAGAGGAGTACACTACCTACCATGGAACCTGAGCCACACTGTAACTTAGTCTTAAGTCCCACCCAGTTCCATAGTCTTTGCAGAGCTGAGGAAAGTTGAGACTGGAGTATGCATGCTGGAATCAACCCAGACAAGCCAACCACTGTGACCAAGAAGTTCAGGTAATTAGATGTGGACCAGAGTTTGCCTCACTCATGGTGGGCAGGAGCTTAAAGACTCTGTGACAATGCCTAGTTGACATCAACTGCCTGCAGGTAGCAGCCAGGTAGAACAGGAAGTGAGCACATATTCTTGACCCCAGCAAGATTTACCTTCAGAAAGTATGATCTTCTCTTCCATGAAGAGCCTCTAAAACACTGAACTTCAGATACCTGGACTTTTTCTTTTGAAGACTTACAGCTCCCCAGTGTCTGGAAAGCATATTTTTTACATATGGGAGGTCTTAACATGCCCCATGGTAAATCTAGGGTCTTAAGGTTCCTAACTCTCACTCCATTACAAAAGATCCTATTTTGTGTTTTAACACAATATTTAAGTTCGCCTTCCAGAACTTATTCTTCAAGAGCAAGTACATTAAACTGCACCTGTCTAAAAACAGGCGAGTCCCAGCAATGAGTCTATGAGGCCTATCTACCTACCCAGCTCCTGCATAAATACCATGTGCCTATTATGCTCCTGTTGTGTTGTCCCTGGGATAGAACTATCTTCATGGAGCTTAGGATCCTTCACAATGACACCTGTAACAGGTGTGACCATCAGAGGGCCTAATGCAAAGGAGCTAGAGCTATAAATGTGAGCTAGCTAGACTGTTCCAAGCAGAAAGAAGAACACACAGGCCTCAGGCCAGAGGTCAGAACGACAGAGAACTGAAAGATGGGCCTGAAGAGTGAACAAACAAGAGTGGTGAGAGCTCCAGAACATTCATGCTGGTAGTAAGGGCTACTGGTCATTTCCTTACCAAGTACCATATTTGGATTCACCCTTTGCTTTAGATATTTGAAGACACTTAGAACAAGCATGAGCATCTGACCATAAAGAGAAAGGTTATTTGTTCTGACACAGGTCTCCTTGGGAGGCAAGCTTTTGAAGAGAAATTAAAATGTCTGAACAATGTGAGCAGGGCCACTCTGCCATGGACACAGGAAAATGATGGCACTGGGGTGAGGTTTCTGGGAAGGCCTTATAGCAGATGGGAACGAACACACACACACACACACACACACACACACACACACACACACACACACACACACACACACACACACACACACACCTACCTGAAAGAAAATAGACTCTATTACTTTTGAATTGAACATGGAATAGGAGTTCCTTAAAAGGTAACTGCAGTAAATGAGGCATACAGATAGCTAAATGCCAGTTTCTACCTAGTACTGGCTTGTAAGATTTACTAAGTTCACTGTGCAGTTTCTTTACTGTATATACAGGACTTTCTCCAAGAGCCATTTGTAACTTATATCACCCAAATGGCACAGGAAGAGAAGGTATTTTAATCTTGGGAGGGAGTAACAGCTAAGGAAAAGTGGATCCCTAGAGAGGTGGGGAACAGGGAGGGCATGAATTTTCTATCTCAAAACAGCATTAAAGATGCGCAGTGAGAAGGTGAGGTACGTGCTGGAGGCTACACAACAGGTCTGCAGACCGAGGCAAATAAACTGGCCTGAAGCTCCCAAGGCCATGATAGCCTGAGACAAGAGCAGACAGATGCTGCCAGGTGCTTTGACTTTCCTTTAAGAAGGTGAGCAAGCCTAGGCACCTTGTTGGGCAAAAACTTTCTCAGTTCCAACTACTCCCAATAGCTGTAATTTACAAGTTTTTGGTTGATAAAGTCACACCTTTTCAGACTACAGCTGCCACAATTAGTGAGCAAATCGCCAAGTCTTCTCAACAGTGGCAGCCAGTACCATGTGGCACAGCCAGGTGGCAATACAGAGGCCCAGGTGTGCCAGCTGTCCAGGAGGTTGGACACAGGACAAACTGTCACAGCCACCTTTGGGCATGGTAGTATATACCTTTAATCCCAGGACTCAGGGGGCAAAGGCAGAGGCAGGACATTTCTGTGAGGCCAGCCAGGACTACATAGTAAGACCTGTCTCAAATAACAGCAACAAAACAACAAAACAGTCACAGCTACTGTTGTCACAGGAATTGACCCTGACACAGAGAAGAGTGACCCTTACCGTGCAGAGCAGGACTCCTGTTCTGGAATGTGAGAACTCGTAAAACACAGAGGTCCTTTCCTGCAGGAACAGAGAAAGCCAGATAAACTCTTGAGATACATGCTAACAAGAGGGTTTAAACCAATTTTCTGTGTTCTAATTTGTTTTTCTGGCACAGAGAGGTTCAGCAGCAAAGAGGAAGCAGCTTCTTCACATCTCATGAGACACACATGTATGACTGAACTTCTGAGACCAAGTAAAGTAGCATAGCTTTGTGAGCAGCCCATCTCAACAAGCCAGTATCAATGGGGCACTGCCTTAAATGCCATTCATAAACACCAGCTCCAGCAAAGACGGCCCTCATTTAAAACATTCTTAGAGAAATATTAGTGCAGAGCTTAAAACTTTCCCCAATCAAGTTCAATTTTTAATCTAGAAATTATGCAATCCTGGGTGAATAAATTAGGCATATAAATTAAACATTTATCACTAGTGTACCACACAAATATTTATTGATTTATTTAGAAGCAGGGTCTCACTATGAAGCCCTGGCTGTCTTGGAACTCACTGTAGACCAGACCTGCCTCCGCCTCAGGAGTGCTGACACTAAAGATGGACACCCCTCTGCTGAGCCAAAAAAGTTAATTTAAAAAATAATCTCTTGGGCCAGGCATGGTAGAAAATACATATAATCCCAGCACTTAAGAGACAGTCAGGCAGAGCACTACAAGCCTGAGGAGTTCCAAGCAGCATTGGAACCGAAAGTATACCTAAAAAGTATGGCATAGAAACCAAACCAAACCAAATAAAAACCCCCAATTCTTTGCTAGGCATGCAACTTCACCATATATTCAAGACTAAAAGAAATTTGCGCACTAATGAGTTGTATGTGCTTATATGCTAAGAATTCGATCTTGGCTGAGTACTTATTACAGACAAAAGGCATTAGCAGTTGTTTTTCAGAACTGAGAATACCAGCTGCACATAATGGTGAACACATGCTCAGCCTTAGTTCAGAAGTGTCTTCTTGCCTACAAATCTGAGGACGTGAGTTCAGAACCCACAAACTACATCACGACTTTCAACAAAAGCTGGGCATGGTGGCACACACTTGTAATCCCAATGCCAAGGAAGCAAAGACCAGCCTTTAAAAGAGTAGAGGGTTTCTGAGGATCAGCCCCTCAACCTCATTTACTGTAACACACCTACACACATGAAACTGCTGAAAATTATGTCCTTTCTCAAGCCAAAATTCACTTAATGATTTTCTACGAAACCCAAGCTAACAACTTAAACATTAATTTCTAAAATCAAACATTTTAACAAAATACGATTTAAAGATATATTAATTTGGTACTTAACATGCTAAAAAACAAAGATAGGAAAATATTATAAGGCTTTGTCTTCTGTAGTCAGACCATCGTCTCTGTAAGAGAATAAGGTTTTGTATGTATAGCAATTCCACACAGCAGTCTAAGCTGAGGGTTCAGGGCAGCTTTCATTTGCGTTGTGTGCCATGTGCAGTACACAATGCCCATACTGCATGTTCAAAACCAACCCTGCAGTGAAGTCACATGAAGCCCCTTCTGTTCTTGAACCTTTTAGTGTCTCTGTTTTCACAGCCTCCTACAAGCTGTTTAGGAAGCTGTGCTCTAGAGGAATAAAGTAATACCAACTTTTACATAAAGGACAATCTGGGTTTAGACCCTGATATCCACGTCCAAAGCTATTTGCAACCCCAACCCTGCTGAGGTAAACAGGCAGACAGACAGTATAGCCTAACTGATGAGCCTTGGGTTCCAACAAAAGACCCTAACCAAAAGATAAGCTGAAAGACCCCCGAGGAACCACACCCAAGGTGACCTCTGGACTTCACAAGCACATGTGTAGCTAGCTGTGCCTATACTTACATGAACAACACTCACACCAATTTATAAAATTACCAAGCTAGAGTTGACTCACACTTGTAATCCCAGTACTTGAGAGGTTAAGGCAGGAGCACTTCTCTGAGTTCAAAGCCAGTTTGGGCTACAATTTGAATACTAGGCAAACCTAGACTACAGAGTGAGACCCTGTCTCGAACAAAACTACTGAAAATAATTATAAGCTAAAATTATGTTTCAATTGTAGAAAATATATATATTTTATATTAAAGGAAGAAAATAAAAATCCGTCTGTACTGAAGCATACCATCAGCACCAGTAACACTTCAATATTTCCCTTTCTATGCCCAACAAAGCCAAACATGTGATTTATAAACATGCTGCTTCACAATATTGTAATGTGCTTTAATCATGCACCAATTGAATGTAAGCACCTCAGCCAATAAAAATCCAAAGACCACAACATCTCATGCAGTCAAATACGATTCAGCCAATCAGAGACAATTTTATTGCATGACCAGTGATTTGTTACTAGGTGAGCCTCTTATGTAAGTTTCTGTACTCATCGACGGCTCTGTTAATTTTTAAACAAGAGATCCTAGGGGCAGGGGTGAATGAATCCTGAGGCTTCCGCATGAACCACAGAGGCACAATAAGTGTACCTCTAGGCTGCAGTGCAGCACACTCCTGAGATCTGGCTCTATCTAGCAATGTTGAGGGGATGTCTTCCCTGTCAGCACTGGTATAGCCCCACTGCACCATGATGAACAGTTCTGGTCATACGTGGGCGTGTACTGTCCTGTGGCTGCAAACCCAGGGCACACCTCACTCAGGACACCATCAAGGGACACAGCAGTAGGGGCCTTTAAAATTTTGTAAGTAGGAGAGGTGATGGAACTTGCCCGTGGAACAGGCTCATAGTTATAGGAAAGAACAGGGCGTGTGGCAGGGTCCAAGCTGGATGGAATGGACATATGCTGCGTGGTCTCTATAGTATTTATTGCTGTATCGCTGAAACAAAACCAGAAAAAGTAAAAGTGTGAAATGTTTCAGAGACTAGACATGATACATGGGGTAAGAAAAAAATGCCTGACAAACGCTTGGGCTTTCATTACAACTACAACACGTCTCCACACAGTAAAGTCTCTAGTCTTCTAGGGAGGTCATTCCCAGGTCTTGTGGCAGTCGCAGATAACACACTAGGAAGATGCAACTGAGACTGTTTGGAAATAGTCTAGGAAAAAAAACACTTAACTCTGATAGATATAGGATAAGAGGTAGGGATACTACCTCCTGCCTTCTTTGTAGCTTATGGGGAGTCTGTGAAGACTGAATACTAACAGTGATTAAGTTTAGAGGAATGTTGAACTATTCCTGAGAAAAATAAAACTAAAACCATCAACAGATAACTGCTGAGCACTCACTACATGCCAGGCTCATCTGCATGAACTAGGTGGTAGACTAACCCTATGAAAGAAACACCACCATCGCCTGACTCTGGAGAGCTGGAGACAGGCACATAGGGTTTAAAATCTTACTGCAAGTCAGAGAGTAACAGACAAAGCCAGAGCCAGAGCAGTCTGTCCCAGAAGGCACACCATGCAGGACTACTAGATCACCCATGAGATGGACAGTCTCAGACCATTTTACCCAGGGATCTTTCTTGACCCACTGAAACCCTTGAGTTTTCAGGTCCATGTAAGTTACTCAGCATCCTCAGCCACCTCCTGTAGAATGGCTCTGAGACTGGCAAGTGTCCAGAGGATGAAAAACCAAGTTTAAAACAAAACCCAAAACCACACATGGTACCCAAGAACAAAACCAACTGATTCAACCAACAGGGAGCGGAAAGCATAATAGGAAACTAACAAAGGCTAGAATATTCTGTGACTTCTGTATATCTAGTGGCAAAGAAGACATGTCCATGAGTGACCTTCAGGAAGGTCAGTTATCTGGTCCCCATTTCCTTAATTGTTAAAGCCAAAGAACAAAACCATGAGGGGATGGACTTGTTTCCAACCTCAGACCTCCACTGTCTCCTTTAGTTCTCAATGTTTACTGGTCTGTGCTATCCTGACTTACAGCTTTCTAATTGTCTAAGATGCCTGAAGCCTCATCACAAGATGGATCTTATTTCAAATCTATTCACCATCTAGGAAGAAGGTGCCCCCCAATAAACCAACCAACTCTTGAAGGATGGTATTGTTAAGAGCCTAGGAGTGAGGCTTACACAGAACATCTAAAGGCAGGGAAGGGTACCCTTCTTCAGGAAGCTCACTATTCATGGAATAACATAGACCAAAGCCTTTTGGTGTGCAGTACCCTCTCCCAGCCCAAAGTGCTCACAGAGTGAAGCGCTGTGTCTTGTTGACAATGACAGCCGCCGCGCTCAGCGGTACCATATGGGATCCACAATTTAGCTCCATTAATGCTCTTAATTTGAAGACATCAAGCCCTAATTACACACTGGGTACTAAAAAGGCAAAAGCCTTCCCTGGTGCCAGCTACTTAGTGCTACTCAGTTGCCGTAACAGCTGGCTGAGGTAGACACAGGCCAAGTGGGCCTGTGAGCTCTCTCAGGTGGAAGAGGCGAGCGACCCCAGAGCAGGAGCCCAAAGAACAATAGGCTCCCTCACCAGCATCTACCAGCAGCTCCTCCAGTTTTGGCTATTTTTTCCCGGCCCATGAGAGCCTGAAAAGGACACAAGTACACCAGGACTCCATCTACCAGGCTCATGGCATGTGGGGTGGGGAAAAGCAGACTCACCTCCTGCTCCATGTTGCCGTGCAGCCGAAGGAATTTCAGTGGCCAGGAAGCAGATGGTAGCTGCTCTGAAGTGGGAGCCCCTGAGCGGCAAGACAGGGTGTGAACGAAGACGGTGTAGTGGAACTCTACCAGCTCACAGCTTGAGAAAAAGACAATCATCTTCTGGGCCTTCTCAAACTACACAAACACAAGGGGAAAGCAAGCACGTGGCCATAAGCATTGATGCCCCTAAAATGAGCATGTCTCTAAGGTAAACGTACATGTCCGATCCCAATTTGGAAACACAGTGACATAGCCTTTAATTATTAAAAAATACCAACATTGATATTCCACTCCACAAAGACAACAGAAAGGAAAATGACAAGAGCGCCAACCTCAAAGAGACAAAACAAATGTACTTTAGGGTAAGCTGTTCCTTATACTTTGGGCCTGTCAACAATCAGTAACTCCTGGCCATAGTCCCAATGCACAGTGACTCCTAAAGCTAATAACTCATATCCCAGAGTCACCCCATGAATCTGGTAAGTAAATACACCTGGCCTAAAAGTCTGCTAGTAACACCTCACTCCTGAATGCCTCTGTCATCTATGACATTCCCCTAATGTTAGGCCCAACAAGGTCAAATTTCATGCCGTGACCCCCACTGCCCTAACTTGGGTTCTTTACCACTGTTTCCATGCGCGTGCACACACACACACACACACACACACACACACACACACACACACACACACACACACACACACACTCAGAACGAAGCTAACAGCCCCTTTCCTCTCTTGTTTCGGGCCTTACCTCACTGCTGTGTTACCCAGCATAAGTGAAATAAGTGCTGCTTCCCTAGATCGGGCCATCTCTAAGCACAGTCCTACCTTGCACTTCTGCAGGATGAAGGCTGCAAGGCACACAAGGCGCAGCTTGCTGGGAACCAACACTACATGCTGGTCAAGACTCTCTGGTATGGCAAAGCTGTCCAGATGGGTACTAGTGTCTTCCTTAGGGTTGGGCTGCTCCCAGATTTGGTCCAGGACAGAAATACTGACTGGATTCTGCAAACTGATATCAGCTAGCCGTGTTACACCTTGGATACAGTAAAAAGGACAAAACAGGGTGGTCACATATACATCCCCAGAGCACCCACCCAGGTTTTTCAGGGAAGTGCAGCAATGACCTAACCTATTGCCATGTTGGTTGGGTAATCCACAGCCTAATGCCCATTGAAGCTAGAGCATTTTCTATGCTCTCCTCAGGTATCTGTACCTCACTTTACCAAAGATTCTTTGGTCACCACAAAACCTTAGATTAAAACAATTCCATAGACTTCTTGGCTGAAGTACCTTCTTAGGGTCTTTACTGAACTGATATCTACCATTACCCAAAAGAGGGACGACATAAAACAATTCCCAAATTTATTTGATCACAGAATCCCTTTTTCTGAAGATTATCTCTAAAGACTAATGTTTCTTAGTACCACTTTCAAAGTCACACAAATGGCACGGAAAGCTCTGGTTAAGTCTACACAGTGACTCTTTATGCAGGGTGAAATTGGGGAAGTGTTTGTTTTATAAGCCTTAGTTTCCCATATGCAAATCAGCCAATAAATTCCTGCAAGTGTAGAGGAGTCAGAAAGGAGCTAGGGAATGTGGACAAGTAATGGAAAGGGGGGATGGCTACTCTAAAACTAGTGCTGAGGAGAGAACATCACAATGGGACCTGCTTGTGGCCCACCATTAAGCAAAATCAAATGGTGGGCCAGCCTGCCTCCCAGGCACCCAGGTGCTGGGCATGCAGGACAGAAAAGGCTGTCCTTTCCCCATAAGACAGGCACCCACTGGCATCAGCCCACAGCTCCTTCTCAACTAACCTTCTGTGAGTGTTGCTGACAGCAAGACATTCTGCCGTTTCTGACACTCAGCATTTACAGCATTCAGAATCACTGTAATGTCCTTCTCGAAACCCAAATCCAAGATCCTGAAGGTGTAAGAGAGGGACTTTAACCCAGGCAATGAAGAAGCCTGACACTACCAGGCCACAGAATTGCCTTGAGATGGCAGGACATACAGCCCCTTTCTCCCACCTTCCCTGCTTCCTAGACTAGGCTTACCTGTCTGCTTCATCCACAACCAGCCACCGTATTCGGCTAAAGTGAATGTTCTTTGTGGATCTTATATGATCCACCAGACGGCCAGGAGTTGAGATAAGGATATTTATGCCTTTGCGGATTCTGTTTAAATCAAGTATCATAAAAGAAAGTATGTCAAACAGTGCATCAGCCAAAATACAAGTAACAGTCAAAGGAGACAGCCATTCATTCTGTGTCCAGCACAAATGCTGAAGCCTTGAGTGAAAACAGCAAATAGGTGAGATTTCATTCTTCTGTATATAGAACTGCTAAGATTTAGTTACAGTGAATCATACAAACTTTACTTGAAAAGAAAATTTTAAGCAAATGATCCAGTGCTTTTTATTTGATTCACAGATTTTTCTAGAATATCCTCTGGATAGATGGGCATCTAGCCAATCCTTTCCAAAATATCTATTTTTTTTTTTTTTGGTTTTTTTTGAGACAGGGTTTCTTGCACCAGGCTAGCCTCAAGCTCACAGATCCACCTGCCTCTGCCTCTCTCATGCTGGGATTAAAGGAGTATGCCAATACTGCCCAGCAAGATCTACTTTTTAAAGATTTATATACTTTACAATTTTTTATGTAGTGTATATGAGCATATGCCACATAAGGTCAAGTGCCCACATAGGCAGAAAGGCCCTGGAGTTGCAGTTAGAGGCAGCCTATAAGCCATCCAACATGGCACTGGGGACTAAACTCTGGTCCTCTGGAAGACTAAGTGCTCTTGACTGCTCTGCAGCCCCTTATTTTGTGTGTGTGTACACTTGGGCGTCCATGGAGTCCAGAGGGGATAGTGGATCCCTTCAATTGGAAGTCACAGGTGTCTATGAGCCACCTGTTATGGGTGCCGGAATCCAAAGTTTGCAGTAAGCACTCTTAAAATTTCAAAGCTATCTTTCCAGCTTCCTAGCCAGTTCTTTAAGGTTTCTGTGTGGGCATGCTAGGACACACATTCTGACTGTTTGTTAGGACACACATTCTGACTGTTTGTTAGGACACACATTCTAACTGTTAAGACATACAATCTGTTAGGATGTTTTTCTCATATTTGAGCCCTCTAGATAGCTGCCATAAAATGGGTCTGATCTATGCCTCAAAGATGATGTACACTAAAGTTTACTTCTTTTTAAACTTATTCTTGGATAATTTAAGAAGATAAACAATGTATCTCAGTCATACCCACCCACCCCCACTCTTTACTCTCTCCCCTCCAAACGTCTCTTAGCATATTCTTCACATCCTTCAAAAAAATCATTACTTTCCTGTTCCCCAAATAATTATAATCACATTATTCTATAGCAGAAGACAACACAGTCTTACTTGGCTAGGTTTCTGTGTTTTCAGTCAAGTGTGGCAACATGCTACACTTATGTTTTGGCAATGGAATAAAGGATAGAGTGTGCAATCACATATGCACCTCTAGATGGAGGATCACTTCAAGCAAGAAACTAAAGGACAATGGCTGAAGCCTTGGCAATAATCCAAGGTTAGGAGGTAATCTAGCAAATGGAAGCTTCCACGAGAACACAAAAAGATGGAGAAGCCTCACTTGGACCCCACTGCTGTCGTGTATAGCTGAATTTAATCTGATCACTGTTTTTAAGTGTCAAGCTTTACGTTCACTCTCAATTACATACTGTTAAGAGAAACTTTCCTTGAGAAGGAGCCGTTCTCGCCCGCCTGGTTCCAAATCCGCATCAGTCCCAAATAAACACACAAGAGGCTATATTCATTATGAAGCTGTTGGCCTTGCTTTTTTCTTACTGGCTAGCTCTGACTTAAGTATTTACCCCATAATTGTTAATCTAAGTATGTCTCTTACCGGAGAGGTTTCCGAGCTTCCTACCCCAATGGCGGTTACATCTCGACTCTCTTGTGTTTCCCCTTCCCCGAATCCTCCTCGACTCCTAGTCCCTCCTATCTAGGTTTTCTATAGGCTCAACAGTACTTTATTGACAAATAACAGGACTTCCCCAACAACATACAATTCAAACAACTGGTATAACTGCTAAAGTGCCATTTACTCATCTAAATTTTCCAATGACATCCATTGCAAGCTCCAATGCAGAGCTGGGAATCAATACATTAAGACCTTGCTAAGCATTAAGGAAATTATCATCCTGTTTGTTGTTGCTGTTGATTTTGAAGACAGAACCTTATATAGCCCAGCCTAGTCCTGAACTCAGTATTTAGCTGAGGCTAGCCTTGAAACTCCTCTCTTGCCTCAGTAACCAGGTGTTTGGGATTACAGATGCAGGCCACAAAGCCTACCTATCTTCTTGTTTTTATAAATCTAAACAGCAAAACCAAATTCTCAGTATGCACCAAAGGGAGTCACATGCAGGAGTGCATAACAAACAAGGGACCTGTGGGGCACCCAGTGGGTGGGTTAAGCAGGTCACAGCACTGTCACTAACTGTATCAGAAGGGAATCTGTGATAAACAGCACTGTCTAGAGGTGACAGCTGGCCTGGTCTGTCTCTGGATATGGGGACCAGGAGGCACAGAAGCAGAGGAGGCTCTCTTGCATGCTAAAGAATCAAGTTACTGAACAAGACAGAAGACAAAACTCCAAGAGGAATAAACAAACCCACTTCCTACCTAGCTTTTTCAGACTTCCTCTTCTCTCCGCCCATCAACACTCCAGGAACAATCCAGGTGAATGGCTACATGAAAATACCAGACCACAATCAACAGACAGACCCTTCCCTAGAAGCAGAGCTGACCCTAAATTCCTAGCACAAGCCATGGTATAGCAGGGAGCACTTGGGCTTTGCAGTGTGTAAGGAGTTTCTGTGCAGATGCAGCCTAGTGGCACCAAGGTACCTGGGGTAATTAGCTGCATTACTAGACCAGAAGTACTGCCAGGACAAATGTGAACTTGTAAAATAATCCAAGTGGGGTAGAAGTTAAAAACCCACTCACTACTAGACCACAGAAATGAAAAATAGACTACTGGTCAACTTTTGTGGGTGCTGAACCTTGGCTCTGCTGTATTCTCTCTCCTGAATGCCCTTACAGGTTCTTGCTACTTTCCACTGGGTTATCTGAGGGCTGGACCTTTAAGTCACTTCAAGCCAAATGAGCCAACAATAACAACCTCTAGCAACTACTAGCAAGAGTTATTATTAGATGGGTGGAATCTCTGAGTTTGAAATCAGCCTGGTTGAGAGTGAGTTCCAGGGCTACACAGAGAAACCCTGTCTCAAAAATAAAATAAAATAAAAGGTTACTGAGGTCTGCCAGTGAAACCTACCAACTGTTCTTAGGGAGGCCAAAAGTACATTGGGAAGATGAGACAGGAGCCATTCTCACTTTCCAACCACAGACTACATGGCTCTTCTCTCACAACGTCAGAAAGGAAGACAACATGGCCTCATGGCTTATCTTACCTTGAGCAGCTTCTGGACAGTGTCAAAGCTCTGCAGAGCCAGCTGTAAATATTAAAAGTTGGAGACAGTGAGCAGGGCCCTGGCTTCCTTTTTACACTTTTTAAGACAAGACAATCTAAACTGATTAGGGTACAACCCTATACCTCAAGGCTTAGGACAGGTAATCCCATATAGAGAATTGCCCTGAAAATACTCTCTTCTTAAACAAGCTTTGGAATCTGTCAATTTAGGGAATGAGGGTGAAGACATCACATATATTTCTTAGACATACAAAAAATAGTGTTTTGTGCTCCCTCTGCTGGCTCAAATTCCCAAAGTGCCATACAGTAACGGATGACAGTGGCCTGACAGGCACTTGAGGAACTTGGCCATGTCCTCAGGCTGCAGCAGGCTATTTGAAGATAGAGGTGGCCAATCCTAAATTTAAAAGCAAAAACTAGTGAACCCAATGGATATAGTACAAGTAAAATTAATGGAGGTAGCAGTCATTAAATACCATCAAAATAGCTCAGACAGAATCTTGTTCAAGTTTATGTGTTGCTCCCATATGTTTAGTGTGCATGGCATCCTAGGGAAGCAAAAGGTTGGCTGCTAAAATTATTTCAATGTGCCTCCCTGCATGTGCCCCTTCCTGGGATAAAACAGACAGACAGAGGCGTCTGTATGTATGAAAGGCTGACCAGAGGGGCTGAAGAGAGGGCTCCGCAGTTAAGAGCACCAGCTGCTCTTGCAGAGGACCCAGGTTCAGTTCCCAGCACTCAAACAGTGGCTCAAAAATCATCTCTAACTTCAGTTTCAGGGATCAAACAGCCTCTTTTGGCCTCTATGGGCTCTGTACACATGGTTAACAGGCAAAACACTAATACATTTTTAAAAAGTCTTGGGAGGAAGGAAAGGAAAGGAGGAAAGGAAGGATGGAAGGAAAAGCCATCTAGAAATTTCCATTTTCCTGTAAGTTTTCATGAAGACATCTAAAGTTGCCCCTGTGGACACATCTTGCAGTTCTGACAAAGATAATTTCTACTTAATGTTTATGAAGAAGGAAGAATTAGCAGCAGCAGTAGCTTCATTAAAAAAAAAAAAGGTTCAGTTTTATATCTAAATGTTTTCAGTCCCTTCTTTAAAATATTTAAAGTATAAAAGTACAATTCTGAGCCGGGTAGTGCCTTTAATCCCAGCACTCGGGAGGCAAAGGCAGGCGGACCTGTGAGTTCAGGGCCAGCCTGGTCTACAAAGTGAGTTCCAGGACAGCCAGGGCTGTTACACAGAGAAAGCCTATCTGGAAAAACAAACGAAAAAATGCAACTCTTTTAATCCCCTTTGAAGGATCATTTGTATATCCTTAGACTTTTTTTGACAATGAGGAAATGTTTTCTCATGCCTAGCTCAGGGTTTTCAAAGAGCACTCAAATAGCAGAATGGTTCCCAGAAAAACGTGAAGGAAAGCATGCAGTGGCTTGTTTAACAATCAGGGCAGGAAGTGGAAAAAACACTTCAAGTCAACAGGCAATCATAAAGTACACACAACCCTCTCCTAACAGGCATGCTGCTTACCTCTCTGGTGGGCACTAGGATCAAAGCATAGGGGCCATCACTGCGCTGTTGACAGGAAAAGAAATACCAATGAGTACAGTGCCAGGTCTAGGCTAAGGGAAGTGAGTCAAAAGTTTTTAGTATGAGAGCCTGTCTTAAAAGAAAAGGAAGAAGAGAAGAGAAGAGATTCCATGAGGAGGATCAATGAAGATCAGATTGAAACAGATGAGATTTAAGGGTAGCCAGCTAAAAACATCAGAAACATTTCTATGGAAAAAAAGAAGAGACAAGAATGCCCACTATGCCTATGATGACAAACTACTGTGCCAACACTCCTGTCCCATTCAACCAAACAGGAGGAAAAAATATGTACAGAACTGGAAAATGAAAACGAAATTATAATCATAAGAAGAGGATGTTATCTTAGAAACTATAACAGAGTCAATAAAATATTTCAGTTAAGTAGCTGAATGCAAAATATAAAAATCAATAGCTAATGGAGGGCTGGAGAGATAACTCAGTGGTAAAGAGCACTGGCTGCTCTTACAGAAGACTAGGATCCAGTTCCCTGCACCCACATGATGGTTCACAACTCTCTGAAATTCTAGTTCCAACGGATCCAAGACCCTCTTCTGACCTCTACAGACAAGCATATATGCAGATAAAATATACACTTAAAAAAAAAGCCAAGTGAGGCATGGTGGCACACACTTTGAATTCAGCACTTGGGAGGCAGAGGCAGGCAGCTCTGTGATTTTGAGGCCACTCTGGTTACTATAGTGAGTTCTAAGTCAGCCAGGGCTACAGTATAGCAAGACCTCTCTCCAAAACCAACAAGAAGCCAGGTCAGATGTAGTAACAATCATCTACATTCATTTACAAAGTCAGGACAGTACATGAGTCAGAGTGATTTGTAAGCTCTAAACCAACCAAAAATCCAATTAAAAATTTAGAAACTGCAAAGAAACGAAAACTTCACACAATGGCAATACCAACAAAAGACACAAATATAATGTGTGCAATCTATGAGACATAATAGCTCACATTTACAATCCTAGCAACCAGGAGGCTGAGGAGAGGGACCTGAGCCTGTGGCTGGCCTGGACCACACAGTAGGAAACTTTAAAACGAAAAGCATCAAATCTATTTGAAGAACAATTAGAACATACCTGAGGGGCATTTTTTTAAAGGCAAGATGTATCCTCTCCTTAGAGAAGATTCAATAGCTAATATAACAAAACTACAAAAATCTCACTTCCAGGAATTATTCCTACATGTCTACATGTATGTAAAGGAGCTAGACAATATTTCACAGGTGTCTAGGATTTAAACTATTGTTTTCTGGACGTAATGTATAAGTATCACTTGTCGATATAGACATGGCTCAGTATTTATGACACACACACAATGGGAGGCAGAGGAGGAGAAGGGATCTAAGCTGCAAGAGAGCCTGCCACAAAGCAGCAACACCAGCAAGCAAGTAACGATAAAGACAGGTGAGGTCAATGTGGCACAGTAAGAAACCTCCCAAGGCATGACAAGGACAGCACAACTGCTATCCCAGGAAGACTGAGTGAGGGTGGCTTGGCCACACCCTGTATCAAAAGGGCAAATGACATCATATGTAAACATCTGTGTGTTCACCACAACCTGGAAACAAATGACTCCACATAAAAAGGCAAAGAGGAAATTTGATGGATGTGACAGGCTTTCCCTGGAAAGAGACGCCCTGCACAGGAAACACACTGGGCTTTGTTTCGACCCTATGAAACCTTGGAATTCTTTGAACATTTTAAATTTTTAGACATGGTGTATCTAAACAACAATAATAAAAATTCAAAGCAATGCCAATGGTGCCTTTCTCATCAAGAGCTCAGAGAGCATGATCGAGCAATTTGTGAGAATGAAGGATGGGCTCAGAAGCAAATCCAATTAAGAGTTTGGCTTTCATGTTCTGCATTGGAAACATTTACTCAGGAGATGAGGATTTAGAATTCAAACCTGAGTAGTCTATACTCAACACCAACTTTGTGAGACTACACTGGAGCCCCAGCGAGGAACAGTAAACACGCTAGTACAACAGGATTAATGTGTCACCATGTGACGATAGGAGATTCTGACATTTCAAAAGGTGTTACTACACAGACAAGAAGATAGAAACATCAATTCCTCGCAGGGCGCGAGTACATGAAGCAGGATGGATGTGATGTTAAAAAACTCAGAGCCAAAGCCAAAATAACTGGGAGAGAACAGACACTGAAGGTGTCTACTCTACGCCAGCCCCTTGGCTGGGAACAGGCCAGGGTCCAGGACTAGCGGCTTACGGCTTCCAGGTCACATCATTTTATGATGAATTACAAGGGGCTTCCCTGAATACAACTAGAAAAAGTGAATTAAATTGAGGCTTACAGGGGATAGATGGCTCAGCAGTTAAGAGGCTTGCTGCTCTTGCATTTACACACACACACACACACACACACACACACACACACACACACACGTACACGTGCACAAGAGGTGACTCACTATAATTCTAGTTCCAGGAATCTGATACCCTCTTCTGACCTCCACAGGAACCAGGCATTTTGAACAAACATACATGTAGACAAAACACCTATAGACATACAATGAAATAAATATTCAGATTGGAACTTATAAAAACATTCATGTGTTTTTTTGGTTTTGTTTTGTTTTTGAGACAGGGTCTTGATCGTATAGGTCAAGCTGTCTTTTAACTACCATCCTCCCAAGTGTTCTAAGTACAGGTATATATCACCACGTTTAGTTTGGAAAATCATATTTTGTTTGTGGTTTGTTTGTTTTGAGACAGGGGTTCTCTGTGTAACAGTCCTAGCTGTCCTGGAATTCACTCTGTAGAGCTGGCCTTAAACTCAGAGATTCACCTGCCATTGCCTCTGGAGTGCTAGGTGGGATTAAAGGAGTGCACTACCGTGTCCAGCTCAGAAAACCATTTTTACAGAACATTCTGATCTTTGGTCTTAGTGACCTTGAGCAAATATACAACCACATGGACTATTGTTAATACCTCTGAATATAAGCAGATCCAATCACTGTTGTTTGAAATGGCCACACGACAGTGTTGATGACAGGTAATATCTAGGGAACAAATCTAGATGCTAGGTCTCAACACTTCACATGAGCAGCTCACTCTGTCTTGTCATAACCCTGGAAACAAAGGCATAAACGTATCTGCCCAGTTATACTTGGGGCAGAAGAGAATGTCATGACTGAGAATGAATTGAACATGCACAGGCCTTGGGCTCAGTAGTCTCAGCATTTGAAATAAAAATAAAGCCACTCAGGCCAGGGTTGAGCAGAACCTCCCACCTGTCAGACGTGTATGTCATCTAATCTCTTGCTCTCAGTTTACCATCTAGAGAACTGGGCTGGAACTGTGAGATTCATTCCAGCTCAATATTGTCAAACTCTGCAACTTGGTATAAAGAAAGAAAACAACAAGCATGCAAGCAAATAAAAACCTTTTACTGGAAAGTTATCCTAAAATCTTAAGGGTGAGATTTGGCCACAAACATTAGCATGTTACATTCATTCTTCTCTGACTAGGGACAAGGCTATATGCACTGTACATGAATCAGCTCTCTGTAAAGTTCTTAATGGGGGAATGACAGTCATTTACCCTTGGAAAACAGAATTCCTCACTTAACCTACCTCCAGAGAAAAACACTGTTAACAATTTACTGACCCACAATCATATACTGTCTCCTTTCTACTGCTGTGATAAAATACATCCAAAACAAATTGGCTTCGTTTCTGGTCCATCATGAAGTGAAGTCAAGGGACCAACCTGATACAGAGGCCATAGAGGAATACTGCTCACTGGGGGTTGTTCCTCATGGTTTGTTCAGCCTGCTTTCTTATAGCACCCAGGACCACCTGCCCAGGTGTGCACCTAACCCATGTCAATTATTAATCAAGACAATGCCCCCACAGGCCAATCTGATGAAGGTAATTCCTCTGAGATTCCTTCTTCCCAGATATGTCTAGGTTTGTGTCAAGCTGACAAAAAACAATCAACGCGCATGTGTACACACACACACACACACACACACACACACACAAACACACACACACAACACACACACACAACACAGACAGACACACACACACAGTACTAAATGGACATTAGATTTGAGGGGGGCAGGGATTGGGAGGGAAAAGTAGGGGGGGCACAGAGGAGGAACCAGATACAAACATATTATATACTGTATGATATATTAGATAAAATATTTTTAAAAATTGCTGAAAAAGACATGGTGGCACATGTCCACAATCATAGTACTTGGAAGGCAGAAGCAGGAAGATCAAGAACTCAAGCTTCACTAAATGACAAATGACAAAAAAGAAAGAGCCCACAATGTGCTAGTGTAATTCTAGTTTGCTGAGTCACAAGACAAACTATCATTTGTGAAACTGCAGTCACAGCACGCAGCTCTGTAGCCTGCACTTCTTCAGCTACGACAGCAGGAATACTTGTTCAAGTCTACAAAGTTATAAAGAAACTCCACTTTTAAACAAATTTTAACCTATTCATTTTGAAAGCTCAGGTTTTTACAAAAAAAAAAAAAGTAAAAATGGACAAATGATACAACTAACTCTGACACTCTCAACTTCTACATGTCATCAGTTAAACTACAGAATAATTACCAAATCCAGGAATGAGCACTGGCACACTATTCATCTACAGACAGCATCAATCTCATCAACAGACCTCTAGGTGTCTGCATCCCCCAGGCCCCATGTGAGTCACCGCCATGCTCCTTTGTCATGCTCTGTCTGCGACAATTCTTCAGTATTTTTCTTTTATGCCCTCAACACTTTCAAAGACTTCTGGCCAGGAATTTGTCTCATGTTCCCTTGAGATTAAACTCATTCAGGCAAACAACAACAACAGAAATAAACTACACAAGTAACATATCTTTCTTAAGCCTGGCTAAGGAGCGGTGGCCAGGGCTTCCTGTTATAGTTACCATCTTTTCCATCTGTTCAGAAGTTCCTGTATGGACACTTGAAGGCCATGGAGACGCCATTTCTCATCTCACTGTCAACTACTCACTTCAGCCTCTGATGATCCATACCAGAAACAGTGCACCAAGTGCTGGCTGTTTCAGCTCCTTACCTACCTTCTCTTGTATCTAATGACTCAAGGATTTGCTCTACAGTGCAACAGCACACTACTAATTCTGATCAGTTAGATCTGAGGCACGTCCACATCAGTGTCTGAAGAGAGACCTCGGTCAGTATGTACTCTGTGATCTCATCATTTTCTCTCCAGTAAAACTAATGGCACTGTACCTGTGAGAAAGTTTGGGCTATAAGATGAAGTCTGTGCTTACAGCAGCCAACTGGGCTTCTCAACCCAACTTTAGCTAGTCTGGCCCAGGCATTAACCATGTTTCACAACTAAGAACAAATTCTAGGGATTGGAGAGATGATTCAGAAGTTAAAAGCACTGGCTGCTCTTCCAGAGGTCCTGAGTTCAATTCCCAGCAACCACATGGTGGCTCACAACCATCTGCAATGAGATCCGATACCTCTTCTGGCCTGTGGACATACATGCAGAACACTGTATATATGATAAATAAATAAATAAATCTTAAATAAAAAAAAAAAAAGAACAGGGCTGGAGAGATGGCTCAGAGGTTAAGAGCACTGACTGCTCTTCCAGAGGTCCTGAGTTCAATTCCCAGCAACCACATGGTGGTTCACAACCATTTATAATAAGATCTGGTGCTCTCTTCTGACATGCGGGCAAACATGTAGGTAGGATGTTGTATTCATAATAAATAAATAAATCTTAAAAAAAACAAATTCTAGGTAATGTTGACTATATAGCATCCTGACTGCTAAACCCACTAATGGACACTCAGTTCCACTCAGTACTAATAATCCACCATGTTAAATACAAAGTATAGCTCTCCTCATCCAAAAGTAAACACATTGGAGCCTGTAAGGCTATCATTTAACTCCACATGTACAACAGATACCAAGATATGATACTATATGGATGGGGCCAGTCAAAGCATGTTACATATTTCCCTAACAGTAACTCTGTAGGAGGTTCAATGCTGCGTACTGTGTAAGAAAAAGGCAAGGCCTCCTAACAAGGCAGGAGCTATCAACAAAGCTTCACCACAAATCATGGCCCAGATGATAGAGCTTCCTCTCTGGAGTCACACAGAAATGAAGTGCGGATCTAAGTCCACTGGTAATTCTATGTGGCCTTGGCTACTTTAGTTGCCTACACCACTAGGGTCATAATAACCCCCACAACTTGCTGGGCAGAAGACGGGAGTCAAGCAAGTGATATGTGGACAGCACTTGGCACATCTGGCACACTGGAAGCATTCCACCCACATGCCCTACACACAGACAGCGGTGACTGTGATGTCTTTATTATACTCCACTCTTGGCACACTCACACTTATTTGATAGGAAGACAAAACAATGCTAAGTGCATAGACCTACAACTCTAGTATTACCACTAGGGTTCAGCTGGGTAGCAGTATGGGAACAACACAGAACATCAGAGAAATATATTTTCTGCTCACCTGTATTTTTGATGTCAGTGCTTGAAGAGACTGGACCACAGGGATGCAATAGGCAAGAGTTTTACCTTTTAAAAGAGAGTGGCATCAGTGGGGATGCAAACAGGCTCTGCTTTCTGTAAATAATGCTAAATCTAGGAGAGGATAAACTATGTGTTCAACATCTAAGGGGCACTTGACCTGTCTGCCATGACTCCTAACTTTGTTTTGTAATTTAGTACTTCAAAAACACCCTGAAGCTTCAGCTCCTTAGATTACCTACAAGGGAGGTAATGATGTTTCTCAAATTAGACAGAAGCTCAGCCTCACAGTCGTCCATGAAGCTAGGAAATGGCTACTCTGAGGTTCTCCCTCCATTAACGGCCTCTGTGGTGCTGGTGCGCCAAGTGTGAACCCAAGCCAGCCTCTGAAGACAGAGAAAGATTAAAGGAAGCTGTGGGCTTCTCCTCAACATGGCTGAGCTGACAAGAAGGTAAAAATGGGTCAGAAGAGCAGACCAGGCAGAAAGTGGTCTGTCTCTCCCTGACATTGACTGTGCTCAAGCCAGAACTGCTTTCAAGCCATAAGCAGTCACTCCATCCATAGTGAAAGCTGACTGGCCACTATGGCAGTAGGCACAGAGAAGCAGCAGGCTCCCTCATCACTATTGACCACACAGAGAAGCATCACCACCCTCCTTCAGTAATAACAACTTTGGGCCTCCCATCACAAGCAAGCATGGCCACCCTCCCCAGGAAAGACAAAACAAACTCTGCAACCACAGGCATCTTCCTGAGGAGCCTAGCACATAATCATGGGCTAGGTTGCCTTGGGATAAGGGGCAGGGTAAATAGCAACTGACCTGAGCCCGTCTGGGACCGCACAAGGGCATCTTTGCCTTCCAGCAGCACCGGGATACTCTGCTTCTGAACACTGAGGTACCCAAAAGAGAGAACACACCTTTTCTTTACCACATGGCTTAGTCATGCATGCAGGCAGATACACGGGTAACTCAACATGCAAATACCAGGTGTTTGGCTCTGCCTACTTACTGCCCAAAGTTATTTCATTGAGAGAAAGTGCTGAGAACATTCTGGTGATCAGAATGAACTTTTTAAACTCCTGTAACTTGGCTGAAAGTGAGGAAGCAAGCCAGAGATTGGCTACAATATTAAAAATTAAAGCAAGCAAACAAACTAACTGGTGGGGCATGCCTTTAATCCCATCAGACAGATACAGAAGATTCTGTGAACTTGAAGCCAGCCTGATCTACAAAGTGAGTTTCAGGACAGCCAGGTCTATACAGGTAAACCCTATCCTGGCAAAAAAAAAAAAAAAAAAAAAAAAGATAGGCAAAACAACAAATCAGAGTCACTCACTCAGTATACTACATACTCTCCTGCCTGCTGTTCAACATGGGATTGGGAACATGTAGCACAGTTAAGATTTCCACACAGAAAAGCAAAAGGAAGCTTGCAGGCCACCTAAGTAGCAGTAGCAGCAGCAGTAGCAGCAGTTCCCTCTGAAAAATGGCCGAACAACTATCAGTATGTACATTAAATCCCAAGCCAAAAATAGATAGAGAACTTATTTAAATTTGGTTGAGTCAACAAGCAAACCAAGCCAGGCATGGTTGCATGTGCCTTTAATCCTAGCATTTGGGAAGCTGAGGTAAGACAAAATAAGTTTGAGGCCAGCTGAGCTGGGCTGGGCTATGAATGAGACTGTCTCAAAAACAAAAGCAAAACAAAATAGAAAAAGCTGGTGGTTCTTTAGTCTTCTGTGTTCTTACTTTTTACTTATGCAAAGTGAACTATGACTCTACAGCTCATGCCTTATACTAACTCTGAACTTCTCTCTTATAAGTGTCTCTAATCAGCAGGCATTTAGAATACCTTTTTAGTTTTCCACTACACCCAAGCAAATATTTACTCCCATTTCTTGACATCTTATTTTTACTGCTAATAAATAACACGATCAAATACTATACTTCGGCCCAAGTCCTTTTCAGAGATGCCCTGATGGCAGATGTCCTAAACCAGCTGTCTTGCGGTAGGGAGCTGAGTGCAGAAATGGAAAGAAACCTGGTCGGTCTGCAAGCAGGTGGGGAGCCCCATAGGCTAAGTGTCATGTCGAGTCCTTTAGCAGTTTGTGATATTCCCAACACAAAGACACAAATGTGTTCTGCCCTCCATGGACAATTGGAATTTTATCTGGTTATGCTCATGAAACTCTAAGAAAAAAAAAATCAAGAATAGTATCAGCCTCTTACCTGGTCATACTTGACATTTTTAAGACTGTATTTATTGTGGAAATCTAAAAGGGAATAGGAAAATAAGTATATCAATTTAATGCAAATATATTCAATGACATAAAGACAAAATACTGGAGTGACAACAGTATTTGACATTTATGATCATATTAAATTCCAGTATTTTCAACTGGAGGGGGGAGTTCTGCCCTCTACCCTACATAACCTGGAAGATTTTTGGTTCTTATAGGTGGGTTCCTAGTTTATAGAATTAGGATGCTACTACAAACCGACAATGCACAAGCAACCCTCAGAACTCATCACCTAACCCACTCAGGCTGAGAGGCAATCCTACACAGCTTACCAAAAAGAAGAGGTCAGTTGTGCTCAGCTGACAAGGGAATCCAGGCTTCAAAGGGAATATATTTTTCTCTCCTTTTTCACAGTAACTAGAAAACTTATTCATGGCATTAAACAAAAGGGGAAAGAAAGTGTCCACTTGCTCATAGAAGACACACTTTAAACAGCCTTTTCTGCCTTCATTCTCCAAAAATGTGCATGTCTCTTGGCAGTAAGAAGCCAGCTTAGCTCCCTTCCCAAGGCCACAGAGACATCTGCCACCGGTTTCACCATCTACCAGTGATTAGAAAGCTGCTTTAAGTCCTATAAATGAAGTCCAGAACAGAAACTAAACTGGGTGAGGAAAGTCAGCACCTCTTAAAAAATCACTGGAGAGGAGAGTGAGAACAGCAACCCAGGCTACCATCAGGGAATGCCCACCACCTAAGTTCACTCCGGTAGCCAAGAGCAGAAACAAACTGAACAAGAACACAGACCACAGCACCTGCAGAGCAGGGCAGGACACTTACTAGGTGTGGGTGGAGGTCCAGCTCCTGGAAAGCCTCTGGAGAGAACACTTGCTCTCGAGCCTGCTTGACTACAGCTCTGCAGAGGAAAGACAAAGTGTGCATCAGTGCCAAGGTGGCAAAGGAAAAGGCGGAGTCCCTGACTGCTCACACCCAAGGCACACCTGCACCGCAAAACACACCTGTGGAGTTCCGGGATCTCAGGATTGTTTTTAAACAGTGACGAAGTCTTGATGCATGGCTTCTCTTGCCTCCCATTGCCTGTACTGTCCCAGCTCTTCTTTGGAGGAAACGTTTTGTGTACATTCCCCTTAAATGTTCTCGCAGTTTCTTTATCACTGGTTTCCTTGGCTGAAAGAGAGGCTATTTCATTCCTCCGCTTTGTTGGTGGAGCACCACTGGACACCTGGTGCTTTCTCTTGGTAGCCGCTGCTTGCTGCGTTGTTCCCAAAAGGAAAGATCAAGAAGAGGTGCATTAGTCCATGAAGACAATCCTCAGAGTGAAGCCTGACTGCCCACAAAATGTATCTCTTCCTGCAGAGATCATTATGCCCCATATGCCAACCATCAGTTTAGGGTTTACAACCAGATTCTTTGGCTTCATCTGAAATGGGGGTTGGAGGAGGGGAGAGACACAATCTTAGTCCATTCATCTATAAGACCTCCATCCATCTAAACTGTTAAGTCACCCAAGATGAGAGTGGGGATAGTGAAGACAGAAGTGTCCTGCCAGCTGACATTAACCAATTCAGTCTGTTCTAAGGAAGCAAGAACCTACCCTGTGAAGCATGAATGCTTACTAAGTCAAACCACACCCCTAGGAATCCGTTTTGTGTGAGAACAGAGACACACAGGGAAATGAAATCTGTTCTTTTCTACCAGTAAAGCATGTTAAGAAGAGACTGGAGAGGTGAATGAGATGTTGAATCCTAGCTCATGCCCAGGAAGTGGAAACTGTCATTACTGTTCTTCCCTAAGGCTTGGATCTGTCATCCTCTCCCCTCAAGCTGCTCAGACTCAGATGGTCTGCAGTCAGTTTCTACTTGCCGTCCCCACTCCAAACGAGAGTGCAGCCCCATCCATCACATCCATCGCATTGTTTCCAACCCTCTTGCCTTCAAAGCCCCTGCCTACTGCTGATCACAGACATACGCCATTAGGCACTTCTTGCCTGTTGCTTATTCTCACAACAGGAACGTAATTAAACTCATGGTGCCCAAACCTTCCCAAGAACAGTGGTTCTCAACTGCTGGACCACAACCTCAAACCCCAAGGTCAAACAACCTTTTCACAGGGGTCACATATCAGATATCCTGCATACTGAATATTAAATTACAATTCATAACAGTAGCAAAAATAAGGTTATGAAATAGTAGTGAAAGTAATTTTATGGTTGGGGTCACCACAACATGAGGAACTGTATTAAAGGATCACAATTAGGAAGGTTGAGAACCACTGCCCTATAAGAAGCATCAGATTCGTCTATTTTCTTTGGCCTTTTCTTCCAGGCTGCACAAGGATATATGATAGTCAGTGCTTCCAATTCTGAGTTTTAGAATACATTCTTTTCCTCTTCACTTGAGACAACAACTTGTGTTTACACACTGACTTGCTTCACCAAGACTGTCAGTTTCAGACAAACCTACCAATGAAAAAGAACTAGTCTCTTTTCCTGGCAATCTTAAGAATTCCTTTAAGGAATTCAATAAACACAATTTCAAGTACTGAACATCAATAAAGTCAGCACTAGCCTACTTCACCTTAAAATGTGTATTTGCAAAGTTCCAAGTTTATGAATTTTCTGGTTAAAGAAAAATGAAGTCAGCTCTCAGGTCTGCTGCATCATTTATCAGACATCATTTGCAAGCCTCGCCTGATAGTCACAAAGGTCTGAAGGTTCCCCACCACAGGTTTCCTGAGCTGGCCTAGCAGCCTCTGCCCCTATACCTCCACCACTTCAGGATACAACCTATTCTGCTACAGGCCAATCTCAGGTTCAGGAAGCTTTTCTACCAATCAAGACAAGACCTGTCTCTTGAGTACCCAGGTATCAGTCTGAAGAATGCTGTTGCAGCAAACAGAGCGAGCTTACAGTCTCCTTGCACACCTTTCCTTTTCCCTTCTTTGGACTAAACATACCAAGTAGTACACAGATTTCAGACACCACAGCATCCTACTCACTCTTTACTGATAAGTCAAGGTCTTTCTAAAAGCAAGAGCACCCAGAAGCTGCATGGTGGCTTACACATACAAGTCCAGCCGTCCTGACCAAGGCAGGAAGACAGCCGAGTTTTAGGCCAGCCTGGGCTACAAAGTGAGTGCCAGGCCACCAGGCTACAGAGTAAGAGCCTGTCACAAACATAACAAGTGCTTAGAGTGAACTGAAGCAGGTTCTCCACTGCTGTTAGGCTAACACTGAAAGATCTGCAGGGAGATCTAGGAAGCCTCAGAATCCAACCTCTACCCATCTCCTCAGCTTTGCCAGTCTTCCTCAAATTCCCAGAATGTATCATGCTCTTCCATGAAGATAATGCTGAGATGCCTGATTAACTATATCCTATTTGGCTAGAAAATACCATAGTTGAGCCGTGCGGTGGTGGCGCACGCCTTTAATCCCAGCACTCGGGAGGCAGAGGCAGGCGAATCTCTGTGAGTTCGAGGCCGGGCTGGTCCAACAGCTTCCAAAACAATACAGAGAAACCCGTCTCATAAAAAGCAAAAAAAAAAAAAAACACACACCACAGTTATGGTTTTTTTGAAGGCTATACATTAAAATATTAAAAATTATTTCAGGGTATGGCAACTATGGGTGGGTTTGCATCTTCTACTTTTTCTTAAATGAAATTGTATTATTTTAATAACCAGAAAACATCCTCAAGGAAAAATAAAGTATTTTTCACAGTATGAAGACAATAACCAATTTAAGCTGTGTATTAGCTACCCACCCTGAGCAAATCTGCACATCTTCCACTCCCGTTTGGATACATAAACCAAAGCACAGATGCAGTCAGGCTTCCATGAATACCTGCAGCGTCTTTTTTATTGGTTTTGTGTGTATAAGAAAATATCTTATGGCCAGCATATGGAAGTCACAGGACAACTATGAGGATTTGTTTCTCTCTTCCCACCTTTACGAGAGTCCTGGAGATTAAACTCGGGTCATCAGGCTTGGCAGCAAGCACCTTTAGGTATCACTGGCCTGTATTACCTTTCCTTCTTTTTTGGGGGGGCGGGGGAGAGTTGTCTCAATATGTAGCCCTAGCTGTACTGAAAATCATTATGTAGACCAGAATGGTCTCAAACTCAGAGATCCAATGGCCTCGGCCTCCTGAATGCTAATATTAAAAGTATGTGCACCACACCTGGCCTGAGTTACCTCTTGATCAATCACTTTAGAAATAGCAGTTGAAGTAATTGAAAACCAGATAATCCGCTTATTTACTCTGTTCACTCAATACAATTTTGGGATTTTCTTTCCTTTTGTATAGTTGGGGGTGGAACTCAAAAGCCTGCACATACTAGGTGAGCAAGGGACATCCTTCTACTGGGCTCTCCCCACGACACAAGCAGCACTTTGATCCAATGTTGCTGACCTGATGCAGCTATCTACTTACCCAAATGGAAACAACATTGCTTTTGTTTTTATTACTGGCACTCAGCAACTGCCTCCGAGGGCCAGACAATATACACAATTATTGCAGGTATTATCCCATTGGAACCTCATAACAATCTAAGAAACAAACTAATGTTCCTATTTATGGACAGGAGAAACTAGTGTGTTACAAAGCTGGCATCTAAATAGTCCAGGTCTATCGAACTGTGTAATTCCTATGTCCCCTCCTCCACTACCCTCAAGGCGTGTCTGTATATTTCTCCTCAAACATAGATTCAGGTGTACCAATGGCTTGCTGAAGACTCCTTACTCCTAAGCACCCAAGCTTATTAAGGTCTCTCCTTCCAAAGTGAAACTAGGCAGTGAGAGTTAAATAATCAAAGAAGTTTTTCTTCACACTTTGGTTGAGCCGGGCGGTGGTGGCACACGCCTTTAATCCCAGCACTCAGGAGGCAGAGGCAGACAGATCTCTGTGAGTTAGAGACCACAAAGTCACAGAGAAGCCTCCAAAGTCACAGAGAAACCCTGTCTCGAACCACCCCCAGGGGGAAAAAAAAATGGTTTATCTGACCTCACCCAAAATTTGCTTTTCAATTTCTATGGAATTACATATTACCTTTGGGGGGGGGTTAAACCTCCAGCCACATCGTTCCTGGTCTTTGATCACATATTATTTTCCAACAGACTACGTTACAGACTTTCTAGGAGATAAACCAACAACCCTAAAACGAGCAATTTGCTCCTGAAGGGTTCGTTTTAAATCACCTGAAAAAGGCAACAGATTATAATGACTGTATATTCTTTCCCTGCTACTTGGATGAAAACCTCCGCTTTAAAAGCTCTTCAAAGAAATTAGTCCAGTCCCCATTCCTAACAGAACTGAACCTTCCTTACAGCAGAAGGACCGGCTCAGGAGTCAAGATCTGCACGGCGGTCATGTCTTGGGGATTGTTTTCCAGTTTGGATACATTCCAGCCTCCAATCCTGACCCTATGAGACCAGACCACCAGAGATTCTCAGAAACTTGACCGGTTTCCTACAGCCTCCAATCCTAACCCTATCTAACTAATTATTCAGCTACTTTTAGGAGCCCGTCCGGCTCTCGCCCCCAAAACGAGGTTCCCGGCTGACGCACGTGTGTTTTCGAGCGCCTCCCGCCGGTCCCTCCAGACCCGCGATCAGATGAGCACCGCAGCTCCCGGGCTGGGGTTGACTCACCCGCCTCGTCTGGGCCTGGGGGCATCCGAAGTACGTCCTGGGAGGGGGGTCCGGGAGCGAGCTGCAGGCGGTAGCCATGGCCGGGGCGCGGAGCTGCGGACCGAGCCAGAAGCCCGAGCAGGACGTGGATAGTGAGGAACTTAGCAGCTATTGCCCGGCCGCCGCCGCCCCTTCCGGGTCCGGGAGTCGCGGTAGCGCGCGCACCGGCCTAAGCCAAGAGGCCCCGAATGCCTCAGAAACCGGAAGAGGTCGCGCGCCGCCCACCTGGCGAGGTCCCCGTCAGCCGCCACGCTGGTCTTCTTAGCATCTCAATCACCCACATGAGACTCACTCTTCCGTGGGTTCTTAGTCGGGCCTAGCACCCAGTGTCTAGCAAAGCGACATCCCACCTTCTACTCTCAGCCGCAGGCGCGCCACGGGTCAGCCCGCCTGGAGCGCACTTTCCAGACAGGCAGCTCCGCGGCCACCTAGCAGGGTGGCGTTGCCTAGCAACGGCGGGGTCCTTTCTGGCTCGGTGGCGCTCCGGGCCTGAGAGGAGCGAACGGCCGCGGAGGGTGCTGGAGGCGGCGCCGTGGTGCAGGGGGCTGCCGGGGAACGGTGGCGAGGGCTCTGTGCTCCCTGGAACCCGACCTCTGCGCCCCGAGGAAGATGAGCGAGGCGGACCAGGCCCTGGTGGGGCCCACGGCCGAAGAGCCCTCCCCGTCCCCAGAGGAGGAGGGCGAAGGGGGCGGGAAAGAGCCCGTGCCCGAAGCGGCCCCCGGGCCCAGCGCCGCGTTCCGCCTCATGGTTACTCGGCGGGAGCCTGCCGTGAAGCTGCAGTACGCGGTGAGCGGCTTGGAGCCACTGGCCTGGTCTGAGGACCACCGCGTGTCCGTGTCCACGGCCCGCAGCATCGCCGTCCTGGAACTTATCTGCGATGTGCACAACCCAGGCCAGGACCTGGTGATCCACCGCACCTCGGTGCCCGCACCTCTCAACAGCTGCCTCCTCAAAGTAAGTCCCCTCCACGGCTCAACCTGGGGTTCACCGCCTGCGGTTCTCCCGCGGACGCGTCCCCGATCCCAAGGGAAGCCTGACCTGCACCTGGGTCTAGGATTCCGTATGGTGAGGCAGTAACCCGTCCTGTGGGGCTTCAGTCGGATCCAGCCGACTTGCCCGGTGTGTACCTGAGGTGGGGAGTGTGGATTGAGAAACGACAGGAAAAGACGCTAAGAAAGAGAGACACAGAATAGAGTCAGAAGGGCAATCCAGTGAACACTTAACGCCCCAAATATATTCTTCAACATTCCTAAGCACCCTACCCAAAAGCGGGGCATGGCAGAAAACTTCTTTATCATGTAAAAGGAACAGTCTTCCCTTAATCCTCCAGCATTTGGTAACCACACCTGTTATTCTGCCTTGAGGGTCAAGAGGAAACACACCTCAGCCCAAGTGTGTTATTAATTAGGTAAGATATCAGCAACCAAGACCAAAACATCCTTTAGGTCTTTTGAACTCTGACCTTGAGGCAAGATGAAGCAGAGCCATCTTTACGGACCCCGACATCCCTGCTCATCCATACAACTTTTGGGAATCAAGGGGCTTCTAAAAGGCCTTGCAAGCTGAACCTCTCCCCGCCCCTCTCCAGGCTCCGACATCCATTCCTCTTTTCGTGATGGGCAGTGAGCGCTGACTGCCCGGGTGCTTTCTGAGACTCCACCCCGCTTGACCCAGCCCCAGACCTGCCTCTACCGTTGCTCCTATTGTCTGGGCCAACTCCGGGAGGCCCTGAGCTGGCTTTGGTTTTTATCCTGTATTGCTTGCCGCCTACTCTCGCGCCACTTTTGCTTTGAGAAGAAAAACTGGTCTATTTCGTTGTCTTAGCTGTTTGACGATTTCATGGTGAATGTTCCTTGTGTCTCCTTCAGTAGACAGGTAAATAGTGGTTTATACTGTAAATCTTTGGAAATGGAACAAAAAATAAAACCTCGAGGAGCATCCAGAGCTTAGATTTTCAAGTCCAGGGTCTCTGTAAATTTAGTACCTTCAACTTCATATAACCCAAGTTTGCCCATGAACTTTAAGAGTTCTAAAGTTTTATTGTGTTAATGTCACCATTCTCAGACACGGTGTATTTTAAAGTAGTGAGCAGTGTTATCCTTTTTGTAGCCTAGAAAGGCTTACTTATTTCCTGTATAGCTCTACATGTAGATAGAGTACCTAATCTGTCAGAGTGAGTGAGTAATCTGTCAGAGTTAGTGAGTGCCTACCGGGGTTCTAGGATAAATCAGTGTAGAGAACAGTCCTCAAGGAACTTACATTCTTTGGCAGGTCATGCTCAAAACAATGTAGTCTAAAAGCAAAGAGTGCAGAGGCAGGCAGATCTCTGAATTCAAGACCAGCCTGGTCTACAAGAGCTAGTTCCAGGACAGCCTCGAAAGCCACAGGGAAACCCTGTCTCAAAAAACTAATAAAACATAACAAAAAAAGCTACATACCCACATAGCAGTGTGTTTATTTGAAAGCAAAGTTTTTCCACATTCTTCTAGACAGCCATTCCAAATCTGGGCCATTAGTCATGGGTACAGTTTGAGTAGCCCTCATGAGCTCTTTTTAGCACACTTAATTCAAATTTCAAACAGTGTTGAATCAGATAATACATCTTGTTTTCTTCTTATAGCATTATGAGTTTGATAATCCTGCCTGGGATTACAGGTTTACAGATTGAATTAGGTGGTCAACTTGACTGGCTGAGCCACGTAAGATCTTTTTAAAGAAGCTCAGAAAGTCCATCCAGGTGCCATGTAGCTCATTGACATAGATCTTTAAGCATTGAGTGTAACTGTTGCTTGAGTATTGATGAATCACCTGGAGCTGAAGTATTTCTTCTAGAGTCAGAGAAAATGACATCAGTTTAGGAAATAGGAAGGTTAGTCCAGGAAGTTTCTTGAGTGCCATTTCAATTTTATGAGGATATAGTTTAGGAGTATAGTTTAAGTATACTTTAGGAGTATGAAACCGCCTGAGCTAGAGGTAAGCAAATGATTGCTGGGCTGATAAAAGAGGAGGGAAAGAGACAGGGCTTTACCCTGGCAGTAGTGGTACACAGCTTTAATCCCAGCACTCAGGAAGCAGAGACAGGCTGATATCTGTGAGTTCAAGGCCAGCCTGGTCTACAAAGTGAGTTCCAGGACAACCAAGGCTACACAGAGAAAGCCTGTCTCAAAAAAAATGAGATAGAGAGAGACTGACTGACTGACTGACTGACTGACTGACTGACTGGGCTTTGGCATAACATAGACCTGTCTATATAACAACATTGTCATGTGTGGCACTGAGTACATGTTAGTGCCCAAGACAAAAATACAACTATACGAAAAGTCTGTGTTAATGTGGTATGGGTTTTAAGGTGATACTAACATTTTGATAAATTGACCAACTTACTGCTACATTTGACATTTGCCACACTGTTTAAATGGTAGCAGAAAACCTTTATATAGCCTCTAATTGATAAAGTTTACATGAATATAAAGGAATCTGTCAGTTCTTCTGTGCCCTACATAGAGATGGTCTCTAGAAATTTAAATCTATTCAGTGTTGTTCAGCTAGCTACTGTTTCAACTCAAATAACAGATAATTTGTAACCTAGGGGATGATTTTAGTATGTAGTACAACTAAAGTGCTACTAAACCTTTTGTAAGCTATTGCTCTGATTCTGTTAGATCACAGCTCAGATGTTGATTATCAGCTCTTTGTAAGTTTCTGTCTTGGGTACTGAAATTATATGATAGAAAATAGAATGATAAAAATAATTGAAAACAAGAAAGTCGTGACTTAAGAATATTGTCACAGGACTGATGAGATGGCTCAACATTTAAGAGCATTATGCTGCTTTTGCTAAGGACCTGGGCTCCAGTTCCCAGCCCACACTGGACAGCTTACAACTGTAATTCCAGTTCTAGAGGATTTTACACTCTCTTCTGACCTGTGGGCACCAGGCATGCACATATAGGACAAATACATACATGTAGGCAAACACTCATACACATAAAAAAATAAATCTTTTTTTCCCCATTAGACTCCTGATACAGTTCCAAATCTTAATGCTGTTTATGACCTAGTCTTATTGTGTATCAGTTGCTTACAGAAGTAGTATCTGTGCCTACTACATGAAATGACTATTGTCTGTGTTTGGAAATCACACATCCTCTGTCTTCAAGTAGCTCCTTACTACTTGAAGTTTCAGATGGGGCTTTCTGTGTCAGCTTTTATATTGGTAGTGGTTAGCTTGAAACTGACCACTGACCAGTAAATGATTGCATGATGGGCTCTGGCAGCCTCTGGAAACTCAACTTTCAAGTGATTAGATCCTTGGACATCTGAGTGCTAGTTTACATTGCTAACTGGTTTTGTGATGGGAAAAGTTGGGAAGGGAAATGTAATTAAAGAAATTTGAGGGCTGGAGAGATGGCTCAGAGGTTAAGAGCACTGACTGCTCTTCTAGGGGTCCTGAGTTCAATTCCCAGCAACCACATGGTGGCTCACAACCATCTACAATTCAATCTGGTGTCCTCTTCTGGCATGTAGGCAGAACACTGTATATGTAATAAATAAATGAATCTTAAAAAAAAATCTTCTTAAAAAAAAAGAAATTCGAATTTAATCATGTATTAGAAATTACCTTGCTGTTCAAGATCAGTGATGTCTCTCATCTCTAGATGCTGTAAAATTGGGATATTTTGGCTACAGTTCTGTTCCAAAACCTAGAAGATTCTACTTTTAAATTAAAAGTTTGCCTAGTTCCAGTTAAGCATGTTTCTACAGTGGCTACATGCATTTTATATACTCCCTGTTACTTCTAGGAGGGATGGAGGGTAATATAGAGCATTTCAAAAGACATCTTTTCTAGGAGCATTTTAAAAGTTGGAAAAGTTGGCTAAGTGAGCTCTAGGATTCCGCTATCTCTGCCTCACCAAGTTTACAGGCACATACTGTATCTACTAGATTTTTTACATGAATTTTGGGTTAAATTCAGTTACTTTGTACTTGCAGGGCAGACTCTTTACTGACATTGTCCCCAGCTGTGATTGCAGATGTGTATGTACCACCATGCCTTTTATCCATTTTTCTGAAAAGAATGGATGGAGTTCTTTTTCCTTTCAGTATATTGAAAATATCTTTAGATCAATCTTTGTTTTTTTGTTTTGTTTTGGCTATAATTTTAGTCATTTATAACTTCCTCTGTCTTTATTGTCACTTTACAATCTTATAGAGCTTTCATCATTTGGCTGAGCACTTGATACATCTTACAGACATAGACAGGGAATGATGAAGCAAAGCTAGAATGATCTGAGGCCACATAAGACTAACCCTGGTAGGACAGATGGAAAGGGGCAAGTTAGGCACGGGAGCCAGGAAAAGGAGTGGGTGGAATAGAGAAGTCTTATAGGAGCCAGCTTGTAGCAAGAGTAGACAGGGCAACTGATATTAAATGTGTGTGATTTGCTAAGGAAACTGCAGACTAAAAGACCTGGAGTTGGTTAATGAAGTTTAGTGGACAAAAAGCACAAGCCTGATGACTTTAGTTCAATCCCTGGAACACACATGAAAAAGCCCAATGTGCTGTATGATGGCTTGCATCTGTAATCCCAACATTCCTTTAGTGAGATGGAAGCATCATGGGGAAGCTGACCAACAACTAACCTGAAGAACACAAGCACAGCAGAAACAGGAAACCTTGCCTCTACAAGGTAGAACGAGAAAAATGAGAATAAAAATAAAAAGACTGAGGTTAGGCTGGAAATGTAACTCAGTGGTAGAGTATTTACTTAGCATGCATAAGGCCCTTGGTTTGATCTTCAGTGTCACAAAGCTATTATGAAAATATAGCTACCAATACAGCAAAAATGAAATAAATATATGTACATACTTCCCTAACTGCTGGGGTTTTTTGTTTGTTTTGGTTTTTAGTTTTTGGGTTTTTTGTTGTTTTTTCGAGCCAGGGTTTCTCTGTAATTTTGGAGGCTGTCCTGGAACTAGCTCTTGTAGACCAGGCTGGTCTCGAACTCACAGAGATCTGCCTGACTCTGCCTCCCGAGTACTAGGATTAATGGCATGCGCCACCACTGTCCAGCTGTTGTTTTGTGACTGGCTCAGAGCTAAGTGTTCCCTTCACTCTTGTGGATCAACTGTCTATTCCATAGGCCAATTCTAAGAAGAATTTGGAAACCCAGTCATGAAGTTAATCACATTTATTGAGTCTTTAAAAAAAAAGGACATTTCCTTGAGTAAATGCACATTTAATCTTTAAACATAATTCATTTTTATTGTTATTGTTATTTTTGTTTGTCTTGTTCAACTTTGATTGGCTGAACATGCGATCTTCCTGCCTCAGCTTCCAGTGTGCTTGTATTAATGAGTGTGCATCACCACACCTGGCTATTTGATCTTTTAAATGCATATAATGTCAGAATTAGCAGAATTAATATAAAATTGTTTTGTATGTTAATGGAAACAAGTTTCTATTGGTAAATATCTGATAGCTTCTGTATCTCTTATTTTCAGGTTGGCTCAAAAACAGAAGTTGCTGAATGCAAGGAGAAATTTGCTTCCTCTAAAGACCCCACCATCAGCCAGACTTTTATGTTGGACAGGATGTTCAACCCTGAGGGGAAGGCATTGCCCCCAATGCGGGGTTTCAAATATACTAGCTGGTCTCCCATGGGTTGTGATGCAAATGGCAGGTGCCTTTTGGCAGCACTGACCATGGACAATCGCTTGACTGTGCAAGTGAACCTCAACAGACTCCAGTGGGTTCAGCTGGTTGATCTGACTGAGATTTATGGAGAACGTCTTTATGAAACCAGTTATAGGCTCTCAAAAAGTGAGGGTCCTGGGGGAAACCTGGGGGATTTTGCTGAGTTTCAGAGGAGACACAGCATGCAGACCCCAGTCAGAATGGAATGGTCAGGCATCTGTACTACTCAGCAAGTAAAACACAACAATGAGTGCCGGGATGTGGGCAGTGTGCTCCTGGCTGTCCTCTTTGAGAATGGAAATATAGCTGTGTGGCAATTTCAGCTGCCATTTGTGGGCAAGGAGTCCATCTCTTCATGCAACACCATTGAATCAGGAATCAGCTCCCCCAGTGTTTTGTTTTGGTGGGAATATGAGCACAATAATCGGAAAATGAGTGGCCTGATTGTGGGCAGTGCTTTTGGACCTGTAAAAATTCTCCCTGTTAATCTCAAAGCTGTCAAAGGCTACTTCACTTTAAGACAGCCTGTTGTCTTGTGGAAAGAAATGGACCAATTGCCTGTGCACAGCATCAAATGTGTGCCACTTTATCACCCTTACCAAAAGTGTAGCTGCAGTTTAGTGGTAGCTGCAAGAGGCTCCTACGTGTTCTGGTGTCTTCTTCTGATCTCAAAGGCAGGTCTGAATGTTCACAATTCCCATGTCACAGGCCTTCACTCACTGCCCATCGTCTCCATGACTGCAGACAAGCAGAATGGAACAGTGTACACCTGTTCTAGTGATGGGAAGGTGAGGCAATTGATTCCTATTTTCACAGATGTTGCATTGAAGTTTGAACACCAGCTGATTAAACTCTCAGATGTATTTGGCTCAGTGAGGACTCACGGCATTGCAGTGAGCCCCTGTGGTGCTTATCTAGCCATTATCACCACTGAGGGCATGATCAATGGCCTCCATCCCGTGAACAAGAACTACCAGGTCCAGTTTGTTACTCTCAAGACCTTTGAGGAGGCAGCTGCTCAGCTTTTGGAGTCTTCAGTTCAGAATCTCTTTAAGCAGGTGGACTTGATCGACTTAGTCCGCTGGAAAATTTTAAAAGATAAACATATCCCTCAGTTTTTACATGAAGCTTTGGAAAAAAAGATTGAAAGCAGTGGGGTCACCTATTTTTGGCGTTTTAAGCTTTTTCTCCTAAGGATTTTGTATCAGTCAATGCAAAAATCCCCTTCAGAGGCCTTATGGAAACCCACCCACGAGGACTCAAAAATCTTACTGGTTGACTCACCTGGGATGGGCGATGGTGAGGATGAACAGCAAGAAGAAGGCACTTCCAAGCAGGGGACTAAGGCTGGCCTGCAGGAGAGGGGCAAAGAGGGTGACCCAGAGGAGCCCCCTGAAGACTCACTCACTGCCATGGGAGATGCCGGAGGCCGTGAGCCCATAGAGGAGAAGCTCCTGGAGATCCAAGGGAAGATTGAGGCTGTGGAGATGCACCTGACCAGGGAGCACATGAAGCGGGTCCTGGGAGAAGTGTACCTGCACACCTGGATCACGGAGAACACCAGCATACCCACCAGGGGACTCTGTAACTTTCTGATGTCTGATGAGGAATATGATGACAGAACGGCTCGGGTAGGTGTCTATCAAACTACTAGCCCTGTGAACCACCTGCTTTTCTCACTAGGTAAAAAGGTCTTGGGTTGGCTTTTGCATCAACATTATTGAGGTAACTGACTGGCATGAGGTACAGAGAAATAGATGAGATGGGAAATATGGATTGAAGCTAAGGACATACTTTCTTCCTTTTATGTGCCTTTGACTGATGTGCAGGGTTTGCCAGATGACTTTTCCAGGCTGTGGATGAACCAAGGACACTGCAGTGGCAAGTGGTATGTGACGAGTAGTGAGTCACAGTGGTGGAGATGCCCACCTGTGCTCCCTTCCATCATGTTTTACAAAGGTTAATGTGGGTGTATGTTTTCTCTTTAAAAGGCTTGAGGTTGAGTTTATTGTTTTTTTAACTGGGCTGTTATGTTTATTTGGGTACTGGAACAATGTAGTAGTTTTGTCTACAGTGTATTCCAGACTTCAAGTTTCCCCCAGAGAATGGGATGGCTACAAGCATATGGAGTATGGTAGGATGTGCTCCTCAATAAGGTTCCTGGTGCAGGTTATCATCCTATGGGTTCTGAAGATTCTTGCAGAAAAGAAACTATTACGCAGCTTCCCAGGCTTGGTCGGGGGACAGCATTAGAGCTGTGGAACCCTAAAGAGTACCCCACCAAGGAAAAGGCTGTACGCTGAAAGTTTAAATCACAAGTCTGTTCCTTTCACTCTGGATATTGACACTCGCTGCCTAAAATCTCAATGAAATTGAGAGGTCCAGATAGCTTTGTCCCTACCAACTCAATTCACAGTGCATTTGTCCGCCCTGAAACTGCTGCCCACAGGACAAGTGCAGTGATCTTAAACACAGTAAGAGGTATTGGTCATGTTTGTGACTTTCTTCTCTAAAAAGTCAACATTTAAACCCTGTTTTCTGTCTTTTAAACTGCCTGGCAGAATATTCTGTTTTTCACTGTCATGGGACTGGATAGAATTATTGTAAGTAATCTGTGATATGCTAGCAAAAGCATTTGTGGAAAGTAATAGGTTCCATTCTTACCTTGAGGATTCTTGATTAGATGCTGTGTGCTTGTAGACCTGTTATGTCTAACATGGTTATGTGGTTCTGACTAAGCCAGTATGAAAACAATGAGAAGACTATACCTTGCTTTGCTGTAGCATCTGAGTTCTGATTAAAGAATAACTTTTGTGGTCTAAGAATCTAGATCTGCTTCATACAGAGACCTTTCAGCCTATAGTGTTGATTTTACTGTAGTTTTAAATGTTCTGTGACTGTTGGGCATGTAGTATGATATATTTCTCAACTGTTTTTCATTCCCAACTGCCCCACTTCCCCCTTCCTCGTTCCTGCCCATGACTTGTTACTAGTTAATACTACAGACCTAGTATGTATTCTTGTCTCATAAGTCTATCTGTGTTTTATACATTAAATACGTTAAAAGGATTAAGAATTTTTTTATTCTCCAGGAACCAGAATTCCTTGAAAAGGATTGTCATAGAGCTTCCATGATTGAGGCCACAGAGAGTAAATAGCAGCAGTTCTTCCTCACGTAGAGCTTAGGCTCAGCTCTGCTCTGCGTTAGAGCACTGGGCCATCCTTACTGCTATACTGCTGCTGGTTTGTTCAGCTTACCTGGAAAAGAGGAGTGAGGGTGTCTGTCCTAATGTGAAGGACTGTAAATTTTGAAGACCGAAAGTATATTAAGCCTGATGTGGTGGTGCACGCCTCCATCCCAGTACAAAGGAGGCAGAGGCAGAGGTTCTCTGTGAGTTGGAGGCTATAGTGAGACCCTGTTTAAAAAAAAAAAAATCAAACAAACCAAACCAAAAAAAAACAACCCACAAATTTGCAAATTATATTCAAAAGAGTTGAAATGGCTTGCTCAAATTAGCAATTAAGATACCCTTGTAGACTACTAGAAGAGGTAAAGCATAAATACATTCAGATCTGGGAAGGCAGGAGTTAGTAGTAAAAGAAGCTTAAGGGTTTGGTATATCCCATGCCTCTAAGGCCGTGAAGGGTGTGTGTGTGTGTGTGTGTGTGTGTGCCATCTGAAGGGGAAGCTGTTTTTTTAATTCTGATTATCTTTTTATTTTATAAATCTGTGATAAAAGACTAAAACATTTCTATACTGGGAAGCCCCTCCTCTTCTAGAGGACCCAGGTTGTTTCCAGCACCCCCATGGCAATTCACAGCCACTGTAGCTCCAGCTTCCAGGCATCCTCTGTGGGCACCGGCACACAAGTGGCACACATACAAAACCTTTAAAAAAAGTTTTTAATGACAGTATAGTTACATATTTCTACAAAGTTCACAATAGTCCACATTTTTTTGCAGGGAAATTAATGGCTTTCCTTCTTAAAGCACCTTAAGCAAAAACTATACTTGTAAAGCAACTAAAAGAAAGACAGAGGGCTTGGATTTGGGAGATTTCTCCCTTGAGGTTAGAGTTCACCCTAGAGGTCAGGGTCACTGTGTCTATTTATTTTACTTTGCTGTTGACACTGGTAGAAGGTGCAGGTTTTGAACTGTTTGGACAGCAGCGTATCCTGTAGATATACACCTCTCCTGTCCTGACACAATCCTATATTGACTGTAAGTACTCTTTACTCCCAGAAACCCACCCACCCCTCACTGCCACCTGTGGTATCTCACCAGGTCCTGATTGGACACATCTCCAAGAAGATGAATAAGCAGACCTTCCCCGAGCACTGCAGTCTGTGTAAGGAGATCTTACCGTTCACGGATCGCAAGCAGGCAGTTTGTTCCAATGGGCACATCTGGCTCCGGTAAGCTCCCAAGGCTGCTCCTGTCTCAGGTTTGTGCAGCACAGAGCCACTGTCCAGGGCTCATCTGCTTGACGAATAGAAGTGACTGTGTTCACTTGGTTGTTTGCCTTGCAGTCAAGGTGCTTGTGTACTTTTTTGGCTAAGTTTCATAATGGGGGAAGGGGCATATAACAGACATGGGAAAGGAGATGAGAGGGAATTGGAGAGAATAATCTGAACACATCATATAAATGTATGAAGTTGTCAGACAGCAAAAGCAATAAACAACTTTTGTAATGAAAGAGTCCTTCCTTCCTCTTCCTGTCCCCTTAGCCTAGCCAAAGAGGTGACCTTGGTGGGTCCTCATTTCCAGTCACCCCCTTCTCCATGAGATACTTTATTACATTCTCCCAAGACACCGTACTTTCTGGTTTTCCTCCAGCCTCTGACTTCATATCCAGTTTTCTGCAGATCCTGTCTCATCTCCTCAGTGTCCATCCTTAGGCCTATCCTCTCGGTCATCTGCCATTCTCTTATTGGTCTGTGTCTTTTTCAGTTCAGACTTGCAAGTTAGCTTCCTGCCTGCCTGGTGTCTTTATTTAGATGTCACCTTCACAAAGAATCCAGCCCCCTCACATTTCTGCCACTGTAGCCATGGCCCAGACACTGTCCTTGTTCATGCACATGATGGTAGACTATCTTCCACCTGGGCCTGCTACTTCCATACTGAACCTTCGGTCTGTCCTCTGCAGTTGTGGTCATGATACTCAATTTTTGTCAGTCCTTGTCACATCAGTACTCTCCGATAGGGCTGGGGCTATGGGTCAATGGGAGAACATACCTCTAGCATTTGCAAGGCACAGTCCTACAAAAACTAACAAAAGCTCTCCAGTAGCTGACCATTTCTGAATTGAAAAGCTAAAACTCTTTAAGTGTCTTGCAACCTTTCACAGTCTGTTCTTGCTTCTTCAAGCCCTCGTCCTTGCTCTGAACTCAGCTCCCAGATTTCTCCATTCAGGAGAACTGGCTTCCTTGCTCAGGTTTACAGGCACCCCTCCCACTTGAGGATGTCTGCAGGGACACAGATATTTAATTGGGGGGGGGGTGTCACACACACACACAAACAAACCTAGTGCTGTGTATTCCTCTGCTCTCCTGTTTTTCTCCTTACAACCATATTTCACTTTCTTTAGATAAGGATAGGGTCTAACTGTAGCCCAAGCTGGCTTTTAATTTATTGACCTCTGCCTCCTCAGTGATCACTACTCGAGGCTCTTTTAAGGACTCTTTGCCTAGTTACCCTTCCTTTGGACTAGGCAGTTCTCTTAGCACAGAGATTAAAGCAGTGTTTGCTAGTGCTCAGCAGAAATGGTAGATTTACTTAACTACAACAGGGCTGTGATGCACATACTATTTATTCATTCATTTTCTTTCTTGTTTTGTTGTGTGTCTTGTTGACAGATCTTGCTATGTTGTGAAGGCTGGTCTTAAACTTAATGATCCTCCTGCTTCGACCCCCCCAGGCATGTGCCACTGTGCACAACCAGGATTGTGCACAACCAGGATTCCTTTTTTTTTTTTTTTTTTTTTTTTGCTTTGCTTTCAAAACAGAGTTTCTCTGTGTAGCCCTGGCTGTCCTGTCCTGGAACTTACTCTGTAGACCAGACTGGCCTCAACCTCAGAGGTCTGCCTCCCAAGTTCTGAGATTAAAGGCATGCACCACCACCACTCTGCACTATGATTATGATTCCTTCTCTTATTGACATGCTTGTTTCCTATTTGACTGTTTGGACTTTTTTATCCTTGAAGGGAAAGAATAATTAAAATCTAAAATTGGGTAAATTTTAGGCTTGTAATCAAACATCTGTTGAGCACTGTCAGCATGCCAGACAAATCAGGACAGATGCACATCTGTTAAGTGACCATATCCTCAAAGGGCAACTGCATAAGGATCTCCATCTTGTAGAAAGACTGGTGTTGGGACATGGGGATAGTAAGAAGAACTTGCCCGAAATTAGTGGGCTCAGAGCCCTCATAGTAGTCACTGCCTGCTCGTGCCTCCCACATTTGTGGGTTGTTTCACAGAAGTTGTTTTCCATTTCTGATTAAGGTTAACCCCCAAATGCATTGGTATAATTTCCTTCTCGTGAACTCTTTTTTTCCTGTATACCTAAATCCTAAGGCCAACTTTGGAGTCCCTTCCCCTGACCTAAGTTTTACTCGGTAGTTGCTCACCTGAAAACTGCTACCTCTTGGGGTTTTTCCTCTTCACCTTGTACCCTTCCTGCTCCTTTGCCTTCTGGTAGGTGCTCAGTGAATGCTCATTGGGCAGAATTTAATTGAACCCTCTGAGCGTTTATTAGTTTGTTTCCTGTCTTTTTAACACCATTAATTTCATCTTCGATACTTAAAAAGTTCATGTGTTGTGTGTGATATATGTGCCTGAGGCATATGCATACTTTTGTGTGTGGGATCAAGAAGAGAGCATCAAGTGTCCTCTATGACGTTCCACTTTATTCCTTTGATACAAAGTCTCTTTCTGCCAGGCTGGCAGTCAGCAAGCCCCAGTGATTCTCCTGTCTCTGTCCTGATCTGTACTGGGCTACAAATGCAAGTGAGAACACAACTGGCTTGTGACATGGTGCTGGAACCTAAACTCCGTGTCCTCATTCTTACCTTCAGGGCCATCTTTCCTGTCCCGGTACCTAAGTCAGTGGTTCTCAACCTTCCTAATGCTGTGGCCTTTTAATATAGTCTTTCATGTTGTGCTGACCCCAACGATAAAATTTTTTCATTGCTACATTGTAACTTCAATTTTCTACTGTTGTGAATCTTAGTGTAAATGTCTGTGTTTTCCAGTGATCCTAGGCAACCCCTGTGAAAGAACTGTTCAACAGCCCCTGGGGTTGAGACCCACAGGTGGAGAACTACTGACCTAAGAGCTCTGAAAGATAATCCATATATATTTTTTTTTTGCTTTTTTTGTTAATTTATTTTTTACATTCCAATCCCAGCTCCCCCCCCCCGCTCCTCTCCTCCCACTCCTCCACTCTCCCCTCCTTCCATCTGCTCCTCAGAGTGCGTAAGGCCTCCCCTAGGAAGTCTACTACGTCTGTCCTATCATCTTGTTGAGGCAGTTCATATATCTTAAAAACCAATGAGTGGCTTTGCATATGATATGTGAGTGTTTACATACTAAGAAGCATTGCCCTGATAACTATGGGAGTTTCCCTCAGCACCAGCTTTTCAGTGCAGGTTGGCCCAAGGAGCCTCCTCTGACTGGACTCTGTCTTCTTTCAGGTGCTTTCTAACCTACCAGTCCTGCCAGAGCTTGATATACAGACGGTGTTTGCTCCACGACAGCATTGCCCGGCACCCTGCTCCAGAAGGTGGGTGCTGGCTTAGCCTTGGGGTGGGGTGTGGTCAGGTTCCATACCATGTAAATGTCCTGCTCTTGGTTCAGAGCAGAATCTTACTGCTCTCTGCAGTTACTGTGAAGCCAGAACCAGTTAACAAATGGTCCCAGGACCAGTGTGAGGCCCTGACTCAAGGGAGTGTGTAAGGGCTATATTTGGGTGACAGCTCTGCAGATGATGCTGTATACAGAAGCATTGTTGGGAGCTGAGGCCTTGAAAGACTGAACTGCTTGGGCCCTTGAGCCTCATGCCCCTGTGCTCATCCTATCCTGTCACCTTTTCTGAGGCTGATGCTTGGTTCCGCTGGCTCTTCTTTGCAGATCCTGACTGGATTAAGAGGCTGCTGCAGAGCCCTTGCCCTTTCTGTGATTCTCCTGTCTTCTGAGTGTCAGAGAGGAGGATGGAGATGGACTCGGCTGTAGGAAGTGCCCTGGAGCCTCGAGTAGGTGTGCTGGAGGAAGCCTGGCGCTCACAGGACAGTGGAGAGACTCCTGCCTTGGAAGGAGGGAGGTCATCCCTGAGCTCAGTTTGCCAGCACATGCACTACCTTCAGGAACTGAAGATATCTTTTCAATGACTAAATGCAAAGAGTTTGAGTCATTTTGAGGTGAACATTAGCCACCCCCAGCTCCTCACCCAATGAGGTCCACTTACTTTTCAAGTGTCTTGCGTAAATCAGTTTGAGTGGAAGCTTCTGCCCCTTGAGACACAATGGGCTCTTCTAGAGAACCTGAGGACCTCACTGTGGGTTCGGTTTTCATCTTTGCTTTGGTCTGGAACTGCCTGTGGCTCCAGAGGACTCAAGTTGGTTGGTACGTGACACCCCCGTGCCAGTACATCTTGAAGTGTCTAAAGCTGTGTGTGACTGGTGTTTGCTCGCAGACTTGTTTCCATGCACATGGAAGACATTTTCCTAAAACTATATTTTTGAAGCCAAGAATAAAATCAATCTTGATGTATCAAATGATCAGGTGACTGTTAGAAGTTAATGATTGTCCTTTATTTTTATCTCCTGTGTCATCAGATTTCCTGACCTAGCTCCTTAGTATGTCAGAAGAGAGTGAGTACCCCTTCCTCATCACAGCCCCACTTCATACCCAACTGTGTGGCCAAGATACTGGTACATAAAGGGGAAGTACTTTCTTTAGTATTAAATTGAAGCTTCAGTATTTTTAGCATTGACTTACCCAGACCTTTCACTGAGTATCTGGGGGGAGTTGGTGTAGAGACTTCTGTGGAGTTGGAGGTCCTTGAGCTCTGTGCTGCAAGCATGTGCAGCTCAAGTGGACAAACCTGGGGCTTCTTCCCCTGCCAAAGGCCCTTAATAATTGGAATACAGGTATTTTTTGTGGGCTTGAAGAAGAGACACATACTATTGGTTGACTGCTAGCTCTTAACCAGACCTGAAGCATTCAGGGATCACAGTCTTGAGTTTTTAAAGTAAGTTTCCTAGGATTGGTGCTAATGAGCTGGACTGGTGCACACATTCGGGAATTGTACGTTTTGGAAAGTGGGGTGGAAAGCACAGAACATGAAATGCTTTGTTCCTTCATCATCCTTTAGACTTTATCCTAACATTCTTTCCTGCTTTGATTTTATATCTGTAGTGAAAGACATTCTGTCCTCCCTTCAGAAATAGTGTCTTGTATTTGGGTACCAGAGTGAGAGAAAGACGTGCCATCCTGTCACACTTCCTGCCTTGAAAAATAGCTCCACACTGGTGACAGGCCCTAAGCGTCACTGCCAGAAGCTGCTCTGAAATGTCCTGTTAAGGTTGTTTAATGAATTGTTAGCTAGGGTCCTTAATGTCCTGACTTGGGGTTGTTTCAAGAACAGTATCTATCCAGACCTGAGGTGCAGCAAAGAAAGAGCCCTACCCAGTTCAGACTCTACATGGCTGCAGCAGAGCCTGCAACTGTCACTCTTCACAGGAAACATGGCAGGAGTAGAGATGGTATTGATAGTTGTCCCCAGTCTGTCAACCACGCATGCCAAGTCTCCTTTCTCTTGCTCTTTTGAATCAAACGCCCAGTGTGTTCACATGGAATTTGTGCTAATAACCATTTAAAACCTAATTGATTGCTTAAAGCAGTTGCTCAGTTTTGAGAAATTTTAACAATTTGGAGTAATGAAAGGGTTTCTAGGATCTGTACTTGTGTACAGGAAGAAACATGGCAGCTGGAACACAAATTCTCAATAAGGGGCTTGGCCCCGCAGTATTCTTAGGACGCTGAAATCCAGCCACAGCCAGTTGTTTCCACAGCTAGTAGGGGTTCCTCCCTCCCCTCTAACATCCTCCCTTACTCCCACCACACACCGATGTTAATCTTGAGAGTTGGGTGCACAAGAGAATTTAGGATTGATGGCAGCCTCCTGCATAGGGCACTTCTGAGTTCTTCTCTAAGGGTCAGTATATAGAACCCTGGAGGGTTGATTGGAAAAATGGGAGTGACATCAGTCTTGTGCCTTTTCCAGCTCAAACGTGCCTGTGCTGCTTGGTGAAGAACTTGAGGTGGTTTCGATTGCAGCTGTAGTAGCTGTTTTAGCATGGGAGCAAGAGTGGCCATCGAATTGCTGCCTTACGTTTAGAAGGCTAGAGCACACTACAGAGATCCCACAAGCTGCAACGCTGCTATGTATCAGGTCTTCTCTGCCTGGGGGTTATTGGTTTCTATTATTCTAGGTAGGAAATGGGTAGCTTGTTCTGGTTGGTGTTCATGCTGAAGTCCTGATTTGTTCACCCCTAGACTTGAAGCTGTCTTTATCCACTACAAGATCTGCTAGAAGTTGTCATGAGCACCAGCAAAGTCTGTGGTCAGATGTAACATTTTCCTGCTTGTCCCTCTAGGTTCTAGCAAGTTTTTAACATCTATGTAGAAGCATGTAGGCTAGACCTAGCAACAAGCTTTGCAAGTTAATTGAATTGGGAAAGTTTATGTTTGTTTGTTTTATTCTGTTTTTTTGAGACATGGTTTCACTATGCTATAGCCCTGGCTATCATGGAATTCCTTTTGTAGACCAGGCTGGCCTTGAACTCACAGATCTGCCTGCCTCTGCCTCCTGTATTGGGAAAGTTTAATCATTTGCTTGGCTATGAGGTATTGGATTGGAAGGACGTCCCTGCAGGGTCTAGATGAAGTGGATTGTTTGGCTTTAGTTCCTGGGAAGCATCAGTGCCCCTCATACACTTTAGACTGGGCCTCAGACTCTCATTAGACCCTCAGCTGCGCTTTCTTGAAGCTGAGACGTTCTTGAAGTTAAATTAGCCTTGTGTCTAGCTCAACCTAAGTGCACAGTAGGTGAATTATCCTTAAATGGAACTAAGCTACACTCAAAAGCCTTGCTTCTAGCTGCCTACAGACATGGCAGCTCTGCCAAGTAGCAGGCAAAAGGCAGTGTTCATGGATTTTATTCTTCAAGGCCATGCTTGTATGAGGGGAGAGAATGATGCAGTCAGGATTCTAGTCATGAGCTTATTTATTTAGAGCCCAACAGGACCTAAGCATTCCTTCTCTGTGATTGAGCTGAGTAGAAATGGAGACAATACGCAGTGCAATTACTCTGTAGACTCTCAAGCAAAACTCTGGTCCTGCGTTGAGTAGATCGCATTTTGTAGTTCTGAATCTTCTGTTTATTTTTAAGGTTAAAAGTTCCTTATCTCAAGGCTGAGGGTGTAGCTTGATGGGTAGAGCACTTGCCTAGCATTCACAAGGCCTCAAGTTCCATCCTCAACACTGCAGGGAGCGGGTGAGGATTTACTGTTTACATCACTATCATGAAGTTCTGTTGTTTTCACAAAGAAAAATACAATAGATTGGGTGAGGCATGGTGGCACACACCTCAGGAAGCTGAGGCGAGGCAGGAGGGTCAAGTTGGAGGCCAGTCTGAGCTATGTGGAGAGAACCTGCCTCAAAAAGCCAAAACTGGTTAGGTTGTGCATCGGAAGAGGCGGTAGTGACGCTGTTGACGTTTTCAGCCCAGATCTTCATTTGGCTAACATGATAGGATGAGTGCTTGTGTTCTCACTGTCTCTCTGTATGGTACTAATATAAGCTCAAACACAAGTGTCCCATGGATTGTGTTTTTTCAAAGCTTTGTTTCACATTTGTTTTTGACATGACATGGATGTGATGTGAGCATCACACTTGTTTAAACAGATGTCTGTTAGGCTTAGTGGTTTTACCCTGTTTACCCGATGCTTGTGCTAAAGTTTGTGCTTGGCTTTGAATTGTATGTTTACACCTGACTGTTTTTAAATAAAGAGAAAATTTTACGGCTATTTAAAGGGGATTTTTCTTTCTATCTAATCAATTTTAACTTTTAAAGTTTCAGCTAAAAACTAAGAATTACAACATGTTACTTGGAATAACTGCCAACCCAGACAAGCCAGCCACTTGTTCCCTCAGCGCGTGCAGCCAGCCGTGTGCTCCTCCAGGGCTGGGACTGTCTCAGTTCCTGGAGGTGGAGAGCTGGTGAGTGGGGCTCCCCCTCCTTCACTGTCCCCCATGGTGAGCTCCACAGGGCCACTAAGACAGAAGACAGGGTTCTTTCTGGCTCTGACTGAGGCTTGCAAGATCATGTCACATCTTAGCCCTGTTTAGCTTTTTTTGGGGGGTGGGGAGATTGTCATTTCTGATGTCATATGTAAGGCTAAGGTCACAGTGCCCAGGAAAAGTCTGACACTGGGAAGATAAGGGAAAAGTGGAAGTGAATGCTAGTTGTCGGTCTCTAGCTCCACTGTTAGTTTGGGAGGCTCATGGGGTATCCAGTCCTACTGATAGCCCTGGTGGCAGGTCCTTGTGTTTCCTGCCTGGTGACTGGCTGGCTACTTACTCCACAAATGGAAGCCCTCTTCTCTTTGAGTGTTCTGCTTTGGGGCCTCACAGCTGCCCTAGTGATCGTAGTGTGTAAGGTGGTGTGGCTGTGGAGTGCTGTCCGTCTCAGCAACTCTGTAGTCGGAAACAGCCTCATACTGAGTTCTGTATGCAGAGCCACTCTCTTACTTAAATGACAAGTATTTGTATATTGTGTGTCTGTTTTCTGGGGTTCACATGGTTTACTGCCGGGGTCTGGCTTGTATCAGTCCTAAGCTGCAGGGGCCATCTATTCTGGACTGATGTCTTTAGGGCTGTGTTCAGAACCAGCCAAACAGCCTCAGGTCTGTCCCTGAGAGGGGGCATGTGGATCAGGGAAGTCCTAGCTGCCCAACAGTGTTAAGAATGAGACAGGGACATCTTGTCATTTCAGGAGGGCTCTCAGTCCATACTGGAAACACCGGTTTATTCAAGCATCCTCTTAAATAGCTTTCTAAAAACCAGGGGTACTGGCAGAAGACATCTATTATCATGTATATAGGGCTGACTAGGAAACACTTCCTTTACAGTCTCACCAGTCTTCAGACACATCCCACATCCCCAGGCAAGTCCCTCTAGTCCCCGGGATGGGTGTGGGTACACCCAGGGCCCAGGTCTTTTGTTATACAAACTAGAAGTCATTCTCCACATAACCAGCTGACATCTAAAAGAAATATAGGAGATTCCAGCTCCTGGAATTGAGCTGAGGCCTGTATCAGAAATACCATATTCGGCCCCCGACAGTTTACAGAAAAACTGAGATACCTCTAAGTCCAGTTGCCTCTGTCGGGGTACCAGACTCCCACAGAGGAAAGAGGAAGAAGTCAGAGACTTGATGTCATTCAGCACTTTACAGGTAGCTAGCTGCCCTAGGTTGCCTTCCGTTGCTTCAATAAACACCATGACCAAAGCAACCTGGAAAGGAATGGGTTTGTTTTAGCTTGCAGGTACAAGTTATAGTCCACCAAAGGGAGCGAGAGCTTAAAGCAAAGCCCACTGCTTACTGGCTTGTTCAGCTACCTTTCTTACAGCCCAGGCTCACCTGCCTAGGGATGATACTGCCCGTGGTGGTCTGGGTCCTCCTATAGCAATTAGCAATTGAGAATGTGTTCAACAGGCATATCTATATACCAATCCGATTGAGGCACCTTCCCTTTCTTTTTGGGGGGGGTGGGAGGGATGGGGTGAGTTTCAAGACAGGGTTTCTCTGTGGCTTTGGAGGCTGTCCTGGAACTAGCTCTTGTAGACCAGGCTGAGATTTGTCTGCCTGTCTCCCAAGTGCTGGGATCAAAGGCGTGCACCAGGACCTTCCCTTTCTTTTTCTTTCTCTTATTTACTTGTTATTTATTTGTGTGTGTGTGTGTGTGTGTGTGTGTGTATTCTAAGACAAGGGTTTCTCTGTAGACCATGCTGGCCTCTAACTCAGAGATCCTCCTGTTAGGATTAAAGACGTGCACCACCATACAACTTTTCAATTGAGATTCCTTCCCAGATGTGTCAAGTTGACAACCATGATTAGCCATGTAATATAAGGGGAATTAATCCACTTACCAGTAGGTTAAAGCATTGGTGCTTTTTTAAAAGGTATGGTGCTGAGGATTGAGCCACTCAAAGCCTCACACATGCCTGACCAGCAACCACTGAGCTACATCCCATGCTTCAAATCCCATGTTTTTTAATAAATTTACTGTGTACATATGTTGGGGGAGGGTGATGGATCACAACTGTAGAGGCCAAAGGACAACTTAGTGGAGTTGGTTCTCTCACCTTCCTGTCGGTCCTAGGGGTTAAACCTCGGCTTGTGTGTGTGGCAAGGACTTTATTGACTGGCCGACTTGTTAGCCTAGCCCCCTGGCTGTTAACAATGCCAGTTAAATAGTACTCGGCCAGGAAAGTGACGCTGGGAACATGCTCGTGGTGAAACACCGAGCAGTGGGTGTGCCAGCTGGTCCCCTGTGCTGGCACCATCCATCACTAGCCACAGACTTACCTGGAGGACTCCTACAGGTGGAAGGGGAGCCTGGCAGCCCGCGTGCATTCCTTGACAGTCAACCCTCCGCTTATGTAGCCCCTTTTTTAAAAACCATCCACCGATAACCGAGACACGCCCCCACCCTCGTCATGAGGAGCCTCTGCTGTGTGTCTAGCCCGCTGGTCTGTGCAGCTGCTTGGAATATCCATTGTTCTGCTGGGAGCCTCAGCACAGTCGGCTCCCCCACCCTCTCAGGAGAAGCGTTTTGGCTGGTTTCCTTAGGGATACAGCAAAGCAGCCACTGCACTGGAGTTTTCTCAGCAGAGTTCAGTTAACCTTCAAAAGGGAGGAAGTGAGTCTTTCCATGGGTGGGCAGTGCTCTCCTTCCTGGTCTGGCTTTCTCACCTGGATTCCCTTCCAAATTCTAAATTAACTGTCCACATCCTAACAATCTGCACCAAGGGGGAGTGAAGGCTTAATCAAAAGCCACTGAGCCGTCGTTATCCTCAGAAGAGGACTGGGATTTCCTCACCATGCGGGTCCCCCTAAAAAAACACAGCCAAGGCTTTCCAGATCCATCAGACCTGATGAGAGAGGGTACTGAGCTCCAGCTGGGTGCTGTTGGAAACACCCAACCCCCATGTTCGACAGACATGGCTCCCCTTTAAGGATGGAGAGTGCCTGCCATCACCAGACACATCTTCAGAGCTCCCAGGTCAGAAACTCAGTTCCTTTCTAGTCTCAGGGACTGAAGCGTGGCTCATGGATACTTGCTCAGCAAGCACAAGGCCTTGGGTTCAGTCCCAAACACTGCCAATAAGAACGAAATGACCAGGCTTTAATCCCAGCACTCGGGAGGCAGAGGCAGGTGGATCTCTGTGAGTTCAAGACCAGCCTGGTCTACAGAGCGAATTCCAGGACAGCCTCCAAAGCTACACAGAGAAACAAACAAACAAAAGAATGTGTTTTCTGTCCCAGCTCCAGGACCGGGGTGGAGCAGAGCTAGGCAGTCACTAAAGAGACCAGTGGGGAAGGAGGAGAGCACAGGTGATGCTATTCTGAGGCCCAGATCCTAAGGCAGCCACAGTGACACAGATATGTGCAATGCTGAGGGAGGGAGGGAGAGAGGGAGGGAGGGAGGGGCCCAAGTGCACCTTTGCAGGTGACCGGTGGCTGTCTCCTCGAGAGAACAGAGACCCTCAGCAAAAGCCAGTGCCAGCATGGGGGAGAGGCCAGTGGTGGCTGTGCTCTTGCCCAGGACTGACAGTAGGAGGTCAGTAACGATGAGACGAGAATGAGATTCCCTTGTGTCCCTCGTGATGTGATTCTGGAATAGTAGAGCCCTCAAATGAGAAAGTGACCAATGGTTCCCAGGACATTAAGTGCTGCGGCGTCTGGCCCAGACCAATAGACCCCAGTGCCCTTAGTGGTGAGGTACATAGGTGATTTTAAACATAATGAGACCAAGGGCTTAAAAACACATTATGCGCATCTCCCAGTCTGGAGCTGGCAGGGCAGGGTTGACTGGCTGGGCCACTGAGCCTCAGGGATCCACCCCAGTGCTGGGATTACAGGCAGAGGCTACTGCACCTGACTTTTTCTAAGATGGGTTCTGGGGATAAATTCAGGCCCTTGAATTTGCAAGGAAAGCACTTCACCAGCTGAGCTATCTCAGCACAACTATTAGGATTTTCAAGACAGAACCAGTATGTATGTATGTATAGTATAAATGTAATAGTAAATAATTCATCCTTTAATACATATTAAATTATATGTATACTATTCAATATATAGTATATATTGATATATACTTCATAGTATTATATTTATATCTTGTATAAATATGTACTATATATATAACATGTAATATGTTACACATAACAATATATAATACATGCATATACATACAATGTATAATAATAGATACCTAATATATGTGTTATGTATCATAAATTATAATTTACATTATGTATATTTGTGTGTTTATATATTAATGTATATTTTTATACAACATTAAAAGAGGATTTACTAGATTGACTTATATGAAATGGCCAGAGTAGTCCCACAATGGCTGACTCTCACTGCCCCAGCAGTAGCAATCCAACACTGAAGGCCTGGAGGTTCCCGTGACTGATGGTCTTCAGTGTGCACGAGAAGCCTGAGGAGTCTGATTCTGACACAATGAAGGACGTGCAGCAACTGTAGGTTCAGGACTCTGGATATGACATTGTCAGTCTCCCCATCTATAGAGTGGGTATCACAGTAGACACATGTCTAGGGGTGCCAGCCCTTGCTGGAGGCAGGAGACCTCAGGTCCTTCTCTGTGTGACCCTCACCCTCAACGGGAGGAAGGAAGCAATTTAGCAGTCCCCTTCCCACAGCCTCTGCTGCTTTTCCCACCCAAAGCTGTTTCTCCATCAGATGCTAACCACCCCTCCACACAGCCTAGGACTC